GAAAAAGAAAGGAGTGTTTGTGGCTGTTTGAGCCAGCAAATATGAAATGTGTCGCAACATTTTACGTGCGAACGCACCTTGCACTAAACATCCTATATACGTCCCTCATGGCATAGGCGGCGGAGCGGGGGGAGGGGGCACCGGGGCACCGTGCCCCCCTTGATTTTGCCATTTTAACATTATCCCGATAGGCGTTGCATGGAAATGGAAATGGAAAGAATGAGACCAAAAGTCAGCAGTGCTCCTCCCCCCCCCCCCTTAATTGAAGATGTTCCGCCGCTACAGCCTCATGGCTACAAAATGAGAGAGAGAGAGAGAGAGAGGGAGGAGAGAGTTGGGAACGAGGAGGAGAGGGAGGAAGATGGGGGAGAGAAAGAGAGAACCCACAGCGTATCACGAGTGAAGTCTACTGTTGATATTCATACTTCCGCTACCCTGCCAATGTGCCCATCGTTGCGTTTTCGCAACACCGCTGTCTTTCCGATGTGCCCTTCGTTGCGTTCCCGCAACGCGACCGTAGTCATATTTGAAAATAGTCACAAACCCTTTTTGTAGCATTATTTCTTAACAAAATGCATAGGTATCTACGCTATTGTAGGGACTCTGCAGAATATGTTTACACAATTTTCATTACGATATTATTAAGCACTTAGCCTACTTATCTTGGTTTTCGTGACGTCATCACTCACAAAACCTTCGACTTCCCTCTGGGAGCTCTAGGCAGTAACTTACCGGCCGCACAGACTTGTAACTGCGTAGTATCATGCGCACAACCATGCTACACACGCTGAAACTTGTCTCATCGGTTAGTCTCTTTTACACACTTCTCAAGCTTCGATCACGTCGACGCTTGCTTGCGTTGCGAAAACGCAACGAAGGGCGTAAATGGGTTAAAACGGGGATCCCCTGCCATACCCACTGTAACAGGCGCAGACCGACAGGACGGCTACGCTCTGAACGAATGGGCCTACCGAAACAAAATGAAAAAGTAGCATTAGCTTCATCCATGTGTCGTACACAAGGCATGTTAGTCACTTTGTTCTCATGTCACCCGACTACATACTACATAGTGTGAATAAACTTCATATCAACAGTGAACGCAGTGTCATATGTTACTCAGATCAATCCACCTACGTTCCTCGCTATTGTAAATGGCTCCCGAGCGCACTTCACTATTTCGCCAATTCACGATAGTCATTTATCCAATTCAACATTAGGTCTAAAATATGTCTGAAGTAACATAAAAATGAAGTGAACATTTCTGTCGTGCTTTGATAGACGTAGCATAACAACCACGACGGTCGCAAGTGACCGCCGGGGCTGTGAACGGCACGGCAACGACCGGCCGGCGGGCGGCTACGCCAGCGCCATCTATGGAGAGAATCGGGTAACTAACGCAAACCTTCCGAGCCTTATGCTTTCCTGCGAGGCCGGTGAAGTAGGCCGCGTGCCGATTTCGACGCCGCTGTATGCCGAATCGACTGGTACATGCATTTAGCGATACATTGTTAATATTTTTCATTACATTCATCATATTATTCAAAAACATGCAAAAATTGAGAAAACCGGAAATATTCAAAGAGCCGGGGCGGTCAAAAAAAAAATCGAATTTTATATTTTTCCGCCGGATTCGTGATCAGCACCCCCAAATACGTTAGATTAGACCTGGGGAGCAAAACTTTTCGAAACTTTTTGCAAAACCGGTCACCCTAATGTTGTCACGGTGGTCAGTGCACAGTGATCAAGGTTCCATGAACCGAAAGCTTTGTGTGTCTTTTTGAATATATTTGAATGCATTTGTAATAATTTGGTTTATTATTTACATCATCATCCAACCTGTCATGGATACTCAATATTTTCCTAATCAACAGGCATGACCTTCTTGGACCAATTCCGTGACCTGAGAGGCTTAGTCCTACCCTTCACACCTGAAACTTACACCATAACCTCACCATTTCTAAGAAAAAGCATAGGATGCCTATAGATTATAATAACACGTGCAGATGAAGGATTAACAAATGGTGTCGAAATCGCTACTCTGGGTCCTGGGACGGCTTTTGACGAAATTGCCAACCTAAAAAAGACACTGCTACCATGGGGCCTTAACCTGACCTCAGAGGTAGAGGTGGCAAAAGATGAAAACTTTGGGAACCAGACTCGAACCAGACCCGGCTGGACATTTCTGGAACCAGTCGGACCCGGTCTTAGATGCAATCGGAACCAGTTGGACCCTTTCCCCAAAAGTCAATTAATGCAAACTACTTGTAGGTATCATTAGTTGCATCATGTAAAACAGCCTATTTCCCACTGGGAATACTCATGAGCTACTGTGTGCAAAGAAACATTCACATCATTCACTTCATGTTTGCAATAATGTGTAGTGTGCGAGATGAACAGTTTATGGTAGGACCTGGTTGGACCCGTCAGAAAATTTCCAGGAACCGGTCTGGACCCATATGGGTCCAGACTGGTTCTTTGGACCGGGTCCCCGGGTCCACATTTTGCCACCTCTACTCAGAGGTCAGCAGTTGATTCGATGAAATGACCTAGAAACTGAATCAGACGCGCTCCGCGCCCCCGTTTTTTGGCATACCTTATCATACATCAATTCTACACATGTTGTGAAAATTTCAGACAAAGGTCATTCAAGGTAAGGTCACTAGGTCACTTCAAGTGACCTCACCTTATAAAAAGTTTCAATGTCTGCCATAGCTACACAGAGTGAACGATTGCTTTTAAACTTTCAGGGATTGATGAGAGCAATAGTATGTACAAAATTTACGTCTCAGAATTTTGATATCGGTGACCTAGGGGAGAGTGGGGTGGGTTGTATCAGTTTTTACTCCGAGACCCATAACCTCGTAACTATCCGTGATAAACTCATTATTTCCATACTATCCCCTTCCTTGATTCTTCTGCTTTTTTGTGCAAAGTAACTTTTCCGCTACCTCTACCAGTTTTTCTTCTACGGTCTGCCGAATAGAACAATGTTTTTGATACAACTTGCCCCATGGCTTGGGTGAGTTGTATCACATGGTGGGGTAATTTGTATCACTATTTCACGTTTCAGGGAGTGTGCTTGCTACTGGTTTTGAACATTACAACAACATTAAATGGGGTTAATACAATGTATAGGTATGCTCAAAGGCTTCACTTTATTAGACCAAACTTAGGTCAATGCAATCCGAACGAAACATCAACAGACTAGACGCAAAAGTGGCCCGTTAAGAGCAAAGAAGCCAACACATTGTGCCGAAATGGAACGAGCATTGACTAGCTACCTACAAACGCGAGCCAGGGCCTAGCTTTCGCGATCAAAAGCAACATACCCATACATACATACATACATACATACATGATACATGTTACAACATACCCCACCCGGCTCTGATACAACATGTACCTAGCCGCCATCTTGGAAAAACATCCTCGTGCTTAAAAAAACAGCGGACAGCTGGAGAAATCCGTTTTCACTCACGCAGCCTTAAAAACCTACCCTCACCACCGCTACGGAGATCTTTCAAATTCGTGCACATCTAAATGCCCAAAACACACATTTTCTTGCAACTTATTTTTTTAGAATGACATTAAAAAAACATAAAATCGGCTCTCACCTCGAGACGCGTCCACTCAGCCACAAGACAGAACAGGGAAAGATGGCGCCCGGAAAACCTCGTCGGCTGGTCGTGTCGCGAGCGCCATCCATTGGATAAGTTTGGCACAATTCGCCCTGATACAACTTGGACATGATACAACTCTCCCCGCTCTCCCCTAAGGTCAGGTCAATTTTGCGACCTCCCATTACAAGTCAATGGGAGAAAATTGAAAGGCGCCTGTTTTGGACGAAAACCGCTATTCCTAATACTTTCAAACACTGAGCTACAAGTAACTTTGACACACTGAACATGAAAATGGTACCCGTGACCCCCTGTTTACGCCCCTGAGGTCATGTCAGGTCACGAATGGTGTCTAACAGTTTTTCGCGAATAACTTGTGATAGAGGCACCCTAGAGCAATGAAAACGCCTTGGATGTGTTCAGCTTGACGATACGGATCGACTGATATGCAACATGACCCTTTCTGGTCAGGCCATGACCTTGACCTGAGGTCAAATTTTCAAGTTGACCTTTCAAGGTCAATTTATAATGCAAAGGATGCGTCTTGACGAGAGGAACACAATGCCGGTAAAGGCAAGCTCGTGCAAGGCTTGAGTCAAAAGTTATTGCAGAAGAACTGTTTCCGAAAATCTGCTATTTTGGCAGTTTTTGCCCGCTGCAGGCAAAACCATTGACGCTAGGTCAAATCTGAGAGCAATACTCTGAAAGAGCGTTAATAGAGCCATCGAACACATTTTTCTGCGGCGCTAAAGCTCTATTGGTTCCCGAGTTATGCGTTGGCTTCTTGGAAATTGTCCACATTCGATCTAAAAATCGGCGAAAGTTTGCCTTCATTGACCTCTGGTGACTGACCTTTGACCTGAGCAAAAAGTGGTCAAAGTGTTTTCGTCCTTATTTTTGACGTTTTTTTCAAACGCCTCAACCCCCCCCCCCCCTCCCCAGCATGGGGCGGGGAAATCCAGGACCCCCAGCGGGGCGCGGGTTAATTGGACCGAAAGACAATTGCCGTTTTCACGACGGCCATCTGGTACACATTTGGTGCACATCTGGTATAGATTAGGTGCAGATTTGGTCAAATCAGGTTCAGTGTGTCTCTTAGCAGCTATCAGCTAGGGTTGCACTAAGTAATTGCTTATATACCTGCTTTGTCATACCTATTATCAGAGAGCATCATCGATTAAAACACTGAAATAAATTCATAAAATGAAGATGTTTGCTGTAAAAGAAATTAGGTGCAGGTTTGGTCAAATCAGGTGCATTCACCGGATAGCCCGTCGTGAAAACGGCTAATATGCACCTAGTCATGTGCCCAAGCCCTTGCATGAATGTATCAATCATTTACGCGCGGCATTGACGGCAATGATAAGGCGATACGCTATCAGACTCCCGGCTGACTAGCTGAGTCAAGTTCAGATAAGCCACCGAGTCGTGCACGCGGCGGACCGCTGCTGGTCGCCGTCCGTCGACTATCTATATAGCTGCGCGCCGCACCGTCACACTACCTGAGAGCGGCCGTCTGCGCTAACCACCTGATCAGCTGGGCCTGGCTGCCTAAAGCCAGACTGCTGGGAAGTGCCGGACTCTACATACATTGGTTTTGCGCGGTATAGTGCGGCGGTGGTTCAGTGTGTCTTCCTGCGGCTCCGGCCACCTCCGTCAGGCAGCCGTCTCGGGTCCCGTCGGCTCCACCGTCGCCTTCATCGTCACCATGCTGCACCCGGAGCCCATGCCGGCGTCGGCTGTCGGCAGACCTGTCACTACCACGGACTCGTCCTGGCTGGGCTGCTTCAGCTACCACATCGGCCTCATCTCCCTCTGCTGGACGCTGGTTGTGAGTATTATCAGAGTAGTAGTAGAGCTATGACTGGATGCTGGTAGGAGTAACATCAGAGTATTAGTAGAGCTATTACTGGACGCTGGTAGCAGGATTACCAGAGTATCACTGAACACTGGTAGTGAATATTACTGGAGCATTTCCAGAGAATGTCTAGTCCCCTGGTAAAGAGTATTACTGGCATATTACGGAGTGTTACTGGGCGCCGGAAGTGAGTATTATTGGAGTATTACCATTGTATTACTGGACGCTGATAGTGACTATTACTGGAGTATTACCAGAGTATTACTGGACGCTAGTAGTAACTATTACCGGAGTATTATCGGAGCTATACTGGACGCTGGTCTTGACTATTACCGGAGTAGGTACTACCGGAGTATTGCTAGTGTATTAATAGGTAAACGATGGTAGGAGTATCACCCAGAGTAGGTATTGCTAGGCGTTGGTAGTGAGTATTACTGAAGTAGTACCGGACGGTGATGTGAGTACCTGAGTACCTATTAGCCGTTTTCACGACGGCCATCTGGTACACATTTGGTGCAGCTCAGGTGCAGATTTGGTCAAATTAGGTTCAGTGTGTCTCTTAGTAGCTATCAGCTAGGGTTACACTCATTGCTTAGGTATATGCCTGCTTTGTTGTATTATCAGAGAGCGTTATCGATTAAAACACTGAAATAAATTCATAAAATGAAGATATTTGCTGTAAAAGAGATTAGGTGCAGATTTGGTCAAATAAGGTGCACTCGCGGGATAGACCGTCGTGAAAACGGCGATTATCTCGTATGGTGTGGCCCCAGTGTGGCCCGGTCTCCACGTGCATATCTCCCGATCTCCCTGGACTCGGGTGACAGCACTCAATACCAGTATCCCTTGTTCGCAGATCATGTCGTTGTTCTCGTTCTTCACTTTCATCGAGTACATGGTGGTGGCCGGGGGTGGCGGTGCGCTCGCCGTCTTCATCGTGGCGTTTCTGCTGAACCTGGTGGACGGGGCGGTGTCGGCCCTGCTGCTGATGGGTGTTCGGGACGGTGTGGTGCGCGTGCGGCTGAACATCTGGCTGATGTGGAACGCCATCTACTCGCTGGCCGTGCTGCTGCTGGTGATCGTCGACCTCAGCGCGGTGGTGGTGGTGGCCGGTCTGGGCGTGCTGAACGGGCTGCAGGCAGTGGTGGCCATCGGGTTCCGGCTGCTGTGCATCTGGACCGGGTGGATGTACCGGGACCACCTGATGACGGTGCCGCCGCCGCCCACCAGCCTCCGGCCCGACCTGGGCGCCTTCTGATCTCCATTTAATTTGTTTAACAGTGCGCAGATAAATAGAAGATGATAAATATGCAAGATGAAGGCATGCATATTTGTTGATGTATGCAAGATGTAAGCACCCAACCTTTTTTGAAAGTCACTTAAGTTCATGGGCGTAGAAACGGCTGGAACATTGTGGGTGCATGGGTGCAGGACAGCCATGGCCGGTGAAGGGGTAGGGCTAGGGAGCGGCACCCGAGCAGAGGCTCATTGCGACCTTTAGGATGTACTATGTCGAAAAGTATGTTGATAATTCACGCAGCTGTAAATTGACTACTGCAAAAAGTAAAAGCGGCTAACTTAGCCATTTTCGAACATTCGCGCTAAAACTTTTGACAGTGGGTCGTCGGTATATGTTCAGTCACATGTCTTTCGTTTCTTTTTTTTAACTTGAGCACAGTAGTCAGTAGGTAAGACCATCAATCACAGTTGCAAATGCTTCGAAAGATGGATAGTAGGCGAAATATCCTGCATTTGTCGTGCTGCATGAGAACTGAGAAGTAGTGTTGATGAGAAAATGTTTTTTGTCCCAGATTATTGTGGGTGCAGACTGCAGAATACATTGTCTGCACCCACTGGAGAATTATTGTGGGTGCAACTGCACCCACTGCACGCATGGTTCCTACGCTTATGCTTAAGTTCAACCAAACTCGTCTTTACTTCTCTTGTCGTGATCTCTTGAAAGTGCCGGTAAAGTTTGACGAGTTTAGATTTTAATAAAGCAATAAGGTGATTACGACATGCTGCATGCTCATATTATTACATGGCTCGCTAGTTAACTGGGTGTGTAAAAATGTTGACTATCGACCGCAATTTCCACGGTTAATTTCTCTCTCAATGATACGTATTTTTGGTAATGACATCATGACAACAGGCGATAGTAATCCGCGTGTGTTTAGATCCTTCCGTCAATTTTCTTCTGAGCGGCGACATATTTAACGATATTTATTAGCGAGTTGAGGTGGGCCTATACAATACAATGAATTTTGAATGTATGCGGCAGAGGCAACAAGAAAAGTCATTGCCCTCTGTGACGCCACTGTAGCCCTCGGAAGAAGACCTCAACAAGAATTATTGACCTCGGCTACGCCTCAGGCAATAAAGCATAAACGGGCCACAGTGATGTCATATCGGGCAATGATTTTTACTATTGCCAACTACCCCACACAGTATTCATATTTCATATATTATCAAATACCGTGTTGCAGAAAATCGGTAGTCGAGATAAAAGTTTTGCGAAAATTTGATCACGATCGTAGCGTATAACAAAATATCTTATTTTTATAAATCCCGCTATACTCATTGCCAAACATGAGAATTGCCTCGAACGAACCAAGGAGTGCTTTTCACTTTCAGTTTTCACATCCATTGGTTTCAATAAAAAAGAAAAATGGAATAAAGGCCTGGCTACACTATGCGTTTTCTGCGTGCATTTTTTGCGTGTTTGCGTGTTTTGCGTGATATCATTCTAGAAAAAAGAACGATATTACGTTTTTGTGATGTTTTTCACCTTAAATTTTAGTTACACAAGAGTTATATTAGCTTTTGTATATAACCAAGGTAAAAATTATATTGTTTATAACTTTTTTCCTAGAACGATATTACGCAAAACACGCAAACCTGCAAAAACGCACGCAGAAAACGCATAGTGTAGCCAGGCCTTAAGACGGCATCAAGCTTGACGTCTAAAGAAAGGATGACAATTTCAAAGACTGTTTCGAATGATGTTAGTTGCAAGGAGGGTTTAAAACGACTATTAAATTACTATTACACTATTACAACTATTCTAGGATAAGAGAGAATATTTTCAAAATATAAATTATTCAGTTTTAGATAATTAGAAATTAGGATTAGATCGGATTTAACCAAGCTGAATGACCTACCTGGTCAGCCGTCTCCGTCTCATAGGTCCACTGTCATTCTCATCTCGCCAAGGCCGTCATCATCTCTCATTCCACCAACCGCCTATTCATGCACTTCGCTAGCCGTCACCGTCTCATTGCTTCCACTCATGTCTCATACACCCGGCCCCGTCTCTGCTGCCGCCAACAGGCGCTCTGAGGCACTCCACCACTCGTCTCCTTCTCGCACTGTTGCCCGCCACTGTCTAACTCACTCGACCGGCCGCGCCTCGGCACAAGATAGGTCGTCGCCCCCCGTCCAGAGCGGAGCAACAGCGCAGGGCCAGCCGTCATCTCGCCCCGGGCCAGACTGCAGCGCGCGGCGCGGCGGGCTGGCAGGCAGCGGCCGCACAGCGGGACGGGAGGACGGGCCGCCGCCGCGCCGGTTAGGGGATGGGCAATGGCAATATACCGGCAATGGAAGGAGATTCAACGGCGACCGAAGAATAACGGAGAGTGGGAGGGGGTAGTGAGGAGAGATCCGTTGACTGCTGGGAGGTGGACGTAGGCCCCGAGGATAACATGGAAAACTGGGTGGGGAGGACTGAGGGATAGGACGGGGATATAAGCCGTGGGCAGTGGGGTGTCATTTTTCGACAAATCGGCGCAAAACTCCGAAACTAATAGAGCCCTACAGTGTCGGGGAAAAAGTCCAATGATAAACTAACATTTTAACCCTCGCCCGTATTGGTGTTTTGCCAGCCGCGAACGTATAAGGGGGGGGGGGTCCGTTGACCCCCCCCCCCCCCGCCTTGCCGTTTCGCCCCTGATCAAGCTATAGCTTCGTGGAAAAACGAGCGTGCTACTGTTGCCCGTGACGAGAGGAAGCCGATGAAACCAAATTTTAAGGTCCTAGGTCATAGGTTGTGACGGTTGACCTTCCAGGTCAGGACAATGACCCAAAAGTCGGGACAATCGGGACCTGTTAGAAGTTAGAACGTCGCAGTGTGGTTGCTAAGGGCTCTTTCGAGGTGCTGATCACGAATACCATGTCAGTTTTATCACAGATAATGTCTTCAAGCATTTAGACCAGGTCGGGCTAGGTCAGGTCAGGTCAACCAAAAAGGGTCCTGCCGGGTATTCGCAATAGGTGTCAACCGCCTCGGACAGCTACGTAACGTAACATGTTACGAAGGAACTAAAACTACTTCGTAAATGTTCAAATGGTTGCTAAATTCGAATTCAGCTCAAAAAAAAGTCTAGAACCACGTAAAACTAGAAAAAAATTAAACCGAGGTCAGCAAAGGTGAACGACCTGACCTGACCTTTAGGTGATCTTGACACCCACCCTAATACACGGGACCAACATCATATAACATGTATGAACGGTTGAAACCACGAAAAGACTGCAAACGCGCGGCTAATGCGAAACGACATCCACCGAATCGCGATTTTGGCCAAACATGGTCTTGGGGAAATAGGTCACAGGCACAGACCTCTGTATACATGTATACAGAGGTCTATGGTCACAGGTCAAAGGTCATTGTGGTCAGGGTTATGAAATTATCAGAGGAGGTGTAGAATTGATCAACTCGATGGTGCTGAAAATTTCGTCGCGATCGGCCGCTTTTTACGCGAGTTATTCACGAAAAACCGAGGGGAACCGTTTGACCCCCTATACAGTACGGGCGAGGGTTAACCCTCGCCGGACCTATTGGTTTTCTACATACGCGCCGGCCGAGGGGGGGGGGGGGGTACGACCCCCCTCCCCGTTTCGCCCCTGGTGGAGCTAGCGCGTCGCGGAAAAAACGAGCGTGTGCGCCGTTACGAGACGCAGAGATTGGTACCCGATTTCAAGGTCCTAGGTCAACCGGTGACCTCTGAGGTCAGGTCAAGTGCCCCAAGGTACGGTTCAGTTTTGGTGAATAACTTCGCAAAAAACGGCCGCAGAGCCGCGACTTTGGCAGCATCGTGTTCGCCTCGCTCAGGCGCGTCGAATGATATACTTTTTGTTTGGGTCAGGTCAATGTAGGGTAATGACCTCAGGTCACGATCAGCTCAGCACCCCCAGGTCACGAAGTTGGTCGAAATAGATCATGTCGCATATCATCCGATTCGGCAGGTCTTCCCGAGTCCATTGGTGGCTTTCCCGACTCTCTAGTTCAATTTGGTCGGGAGTTATTAACGAAAAACTAATTTGACCTTGATGACGTCATAAATGACGTCACACAAGGTAAACATTGCAAAAGTGACGCATCTAACCTCGCAAGGAGTGCATCAAATCACGATTCTGTGTACTTGAGATAGTTGGAGATCGTTCCCGGCGCCAGAATAGCAGTTTTCATTTTTCCCCATTGACTTATGATGGTGAGGTCACGAAAATGACCTGACCTCATATGACCTTTAGGAAAAATCCGAGACAAACAAGTTGTGACACTCATAATGGATACTAGATCCTGCAAGTTTCATTTCCCTGTGACATCTCCTCTGGCAGTGAGGGCGTTGCGAAGTTGCGACATCTGAAGACCGTGCAGAGGTTTACTTATGACGTCATAGGTCAGTGACCTGACCTGACCCAAAAATGCAGTTGGTGTCAAAAGATCCGGCTTGAATCAAAGGTCAGGTAACGTCTGTCAAGACAGCCTCAGATTCAGATTCACTTTCAGAATCACATTCGGACCCCCGTAGATTTTCATAAAAACTGGTCCATAGGTACAGTTTTGGACGCTGATTCCAATGGTGAAGTCTGTTTTTCGCCACATATTATACTTTGGCCCCTAGAGGCATTCAAAGTTTTTTTGGGGCGAAGGGGGACCCCCTTAGATTTTCATAAAAACTGGTCCATGTGTACAGTTTTGGACGCTGATTCCAACGGTGAAGTCTGTTTTTCGCCACATATTATACTTTGGCCCCTAGAGGCATTCAAAGTTTTTTTGGGGGAAGGGGGACCCCCTTGGATTTTCATAAAAACTGGTCCATGTGTACAGTTTTGGACGCTGATTCCAATGGTGAAGTCTGTTTTTCGCCACATATTATACTTTGGCCCCTAGAGGCTTTCAAAGTTTTTTGGGGCGAAGGGGGATCCCCTTAGATTTTCATAAAAACTGGTCCATGGGTACAGTTTTGGACGCTGATTCCAATGGTGAAGTTTGTTTTTCGCCACATATTATACTTTGGCCCCTAGAGACATTCAAAGTTTTTTTTGGCGAAGGGGGACCCCCTTAGATTTTCATAAAAACTGGTCCATGTGTACAGTTTTGGACGCTGATTCCAACGGTGAAGTCTGTTTTTCGCCACATATTATACTTTGGCCCCTAGAGGCATTCAAAGTTTTTTTGGGGAAGGGGGACCCCCTTAGATTTTCATAAAAACTGGTCCATGTGTACAGTTTTGGACGCTGATTCCCATGGTGAAGTCTGTTTTTCACCACATATTATACTTTGGCCCCTAGGGCATTCAGATTCACTTTCAGAATCACATTCGGACCCCCTTAGATTTTCATAAAAACTGGTCCATGTGTACAGTTTTGGACGCTGATTCCAATGGTGAAGTCTGTTTTTCGCCACATATTATACTTTGGCCCCTAGAGGCATTCAAAGTTTTTTTTGGGGCGAAGGGATTAGATTTTCCCTTAGATTTTCATAAAAACTGGTCCATGTGTACAGTTTTGGACGCTGATTCCAACGGTGAAGTCTGTTTTTCGCCACATATTATACTTTGGCCCCTAGAGGCATTCAAAGTTTTTTGGGGGAAGGGGGACCCCCTTGGATTTTCATAAAAACTGGTCCATGTGTACAGTTTTGGACGCTGATTCCAATGGTGAAGTCTGTTTTTCGCCACATATTATACTTTGGCCCCTAGAGGCTTTCAAAGTTTTTTGGGGCGAAGGGGGATCCCCTTAGATTTTCATAAAAACTGGTCCATGGGTACAGTTTTGGACGCTGATTCCAATGGTGAAGTTTGTTTTTCGCCACATATTATACTTTGGCCCCTAGAGACATTCAAAGTTTTTTTTTGGCGAAGGGGGACCCCCTTAGATTTTCATAAAAACTGGTCCATGTGTACAGTTTTGGACGCTGATATTCCAACGGTGAAGTCTGTTTTTCGCCACATTTTATACTTTGGCCCCTAGAGGCATTCAAAGTTTTTTTGGGGAAGGGGGACCCCCTTGATTTTCATAAAAACTGGTTCATGTGTACAGTTTTGGACGCTGATTCCAATGGTGAGGTCTGTTTTTCGCCACATATTATACTTTGGCCCCTAGAGGCATTCAAAGTTTTTTGGGGCGGAGGGGGACCCCCTTAGATTTTCATAAAGACTGGTACATGGGTACAGTTTTGGACGCTGATTCCAATGGTGAAGTCTGTTTTTCGCCACATATTATACTTTGGCCCCTAGAGGCATTCAAAGTTTTTTTGGGGCGGAGGGGGACCCCCTTAGATTTTCATAAAAACTGGTCCATGGGTACAGTTTTGGACGCTGATTCCAATGGTGAAGTCTGTTTTACGCCACATATTATACTTTGGCCCCTAGAGACATTCGAAGTTTTTTTTGGGGCGAAGGGGGACCCCCTTAGATTTTCATAAAAACTGGTCCATGTGTACAGTTTTGGACGCTAATTCCAACGGTGAAGTCTGTTTTTCGCCACATATTATACTTTGGCCCCTAGAGGCATTCAAAGTTTTTTTTGGGGGAAGGGGGACCCCCTTAGATTTTCATAAAAACTGGTCCATGTGTACAGTTTTGGACGCTGATTCCAATGGTGAAGTCTGTTTTTCGCCACATATTATACTTTGGCCCCTAGAGGCATTCAAAGTTTTTTGGGCGGAGGGGGACTCCCTTAGATTTTCATAAAAACTGGTCCATGGGTACAGTTTTGGACGCTGATTCCAATGGTGAAGTCTGTTTTTCGCCACATATTATACTTTGGCCCCTAGAGGCATTCAAAGTTTTTTTGGGGCGAAGGGGGACCCCCTTAGATTTTCATAAAAACTGGTCCATGTGTACAGTTTTGGACGCTGATTCCAACGGTGAAGTCTGTTTTTCGCCACATATTATACTTTGGCCCCTAGAGGCATTCAAAGTTTTTTTGGGGGAAGGGGGACCCCCTTAGATTTTCATGAAAACTGGTCCATGTGTACAGTTTTGGACGCTGATTCCAATGATGAAGTCTGTTTTTCGCCACATATTATACTTTGGCCCCTAGAGGCATTCAAAATTTTTTTGGGGGAAGGGGGACCCCCTTAGATTTTCATAAAAACTGGTCCATGTGTACAGTTTTGGACGCTGATTCCCATGGGAAGTCTGTTTTTCGCCACATTTTATACTTTGGCCCCTAGGGCATTCAGATTCACTTTCAGAATCACATTCGGACCCCCTTAGATTTTCATAAAAACTGGTCCATGTGTACAATTTTGGACGCTGATTCCAATGGTGAAGTCTGTTTTTCGCCACATATTATACTTTGGCCCCTAGAGGCCATGAAAATCTAAGGGTGTCCCCCTTCGCCACAAAAAAACTTTGAATGTCTCTAGGGGCCAAAGTGTAATATGTGGCAAAAAACAGACTTCACCATTGGAATCAGCGTCCAAAACTGTACCTATGGACCAGTTTTTATGAAAATCTAAGGGGGTCCCCCTTCGCCCAAAAAAAAATTTGAATGCCTCTAGGGGCCAAAGTATAATATGTGGCGAAAAACAGACTTCACCATTGGAATCAGCGTCCAAAACTGTACCAATGGACCAGTTTTTATGAAAATCCAAGGGGGTCCCCCTTACCCCAAAAAACTTTGAATGCCTCTAGGGGCCAAAGTATAATATGTGGCGAAAAACAGACTTCACCGTTGGAATCAGCGTCCAAAACTGTACACATGGACCAGTTTTTATGAAAATCTAAGGGGGTCCCCCTCGCCCCAAAAAACTTTGAATGTCTCTAGGGGCCAAAGTAAAATATTTGGCGAAAAACAGACATCACCATTGGAATCAGCGTCCAAAACTGTACACATGGACCAGTTTTTATGAAAATCTAAGGGGGTCCCCCTTCGCCCCAAAAAAAACTTTGAATGCCTCTAGGGGCCAAAGTATAATATGTGGCGAAAAACAGACTTCACCATTGTAATCAGCGTCCAAAACTGTACCCATGGACCAGTTTTTATGAAAATCTAAGGGGGTCCGAATGTGATTCTGAAAGTGAATCTGAATGCCCTAGGGGCCAAAGTATAATATGTGGCGAAAAACAGACTTCACCATGGGAATCAGCGTCCAAAACTGTACCCATGGACCAGTTTTTATGAAAATCTAAGGGGGTCCCCCTTCGCCCCAAAAAACTTTGAATGCCTCTAGGGGCCAAAGTATAATATGTGGCGAAAAACAGACTTCACCATTGGAATCAGCGTCCAAAACTGTACACATGGACCAGTTTTTATGAAAATCTAAGGGGGTCCCCCTTCCCCAAAACAAACTTTGAATGCCTCTAGGGGCTAAAGTATAATATGTGGCGAAAAACAGACTTCACCGTTGGAATCAGCGTCCAAAACTGTACACATGGACCAGTTTTTATGAAAATATAAGGGGTCCCCCTTCGCCCCAAAAAAACTTTGAATGCCTCTAGGGGCAAAAGTATAATATGTGGCGAAAAACAGACTTCACCATTGGAATCAGCGTCCAAAACTGTACACATGGACCAGTTTTTATGAAAATCTAAGGGGGTCCCCCTTCCCCAAAAAAAACTTTGAACGCCTCTAGGGGCCAAAGTATAATATGTGGCGAAAAAAAAGACTTCACCGTTGGAATCAGCGTCCAAAACTGTACACATGGACCAGTTTTTATGAAAATCTAAGGGGGTCCCCCTTCGCCCCAAAAAACTTTGAATGCCTCTAGGGGCCAAAGTATAATATGTGGCGAAAAAACAGACTTCACCATGGAAATCAGTGTCCAAAACTGTACACATGGACCAGTTTTTATGAAAATCTAAGGGGGTCCCCCTTCCCCAAAAAAACTTTGAACGCCTCTAGGGGCCAAAGTATAATATGTGGCGAAAAAAAAGACTTCACCGTTGGAATCAGCGTCCAAAACTGTACACATGGACCAGTTTTTATGAAAATCTAAGGGGGTCCCCCTCCGCCCCAAAAAACTTTGAATGCCTCTAGGGGCCAAAGTATAATATGTGGCGAAAAAACAGACTTCATCATTGGAATCAGCGTCCAAAACTGTACACATGGACCAGTTTTCATGAAAATCTAAGGGGGTCCCCCTTCCCCCAAAAAAACTTTGAATGCCTCTAGGGGCCAAAGTATAATATGTGGCGAAAAACAGACTTCACCGTTAGAATCAGCGTCCAAAACTGTACACATGGACCAGTTTTTATGAAAATCTAAGGGGGTCCCCCTTCGCCCCAAAAAAACTTTGAATGCCTCTAGGGGCCAAAGTATAATATGTGGCGAAAAACAGACTTCACCATTGGAATCAGCGTCCAAAACTGTACCTATGGACCAGTTTTTATGAAAATCTAAGGGGGTCCGAATGTGATTCTGAAAGTGAATCTGAATCTGAGGCTGTCTTGACAGACGTAGGTCAGGTATGCCAAGTTTCAGCTCTCTATCGCCAGCGTGTTCGGAGCTATCAGAGTCGGTCGGAGTCGACAGTAATGCGCGGAGTCGGAGTCGTCAAAATCTTACCGACTCCCGGAGTTACGCTTCGTGGCCCAACGTCATGCCATGCACCTTACCTTTACGATCCTACGCACTTTCACCTTTCGAAATCAGATATCGTCGAAAAAAACGTATTTCTGTTTTGGACGAGCGATTTCAGCAAAAGAGCAGAAGACGGCGCTTTCGCCAGAACCTGCTTTTAATTTTGCGTGTTATTTATAAAGCACATTTGCAATGCAAGGCTTATTGTTTATTCAGCAACGCCATGCGACAAAAAGATACATACCCCCCTTCCCCCCCCCTACACACACACATTAGAATCGGACAAAGAATCGTTTCAGAGAAAATAAAAACATCTCTTCTGTGAACTTTATTATCATATGGATTTTGGAGAGAAACGTCAGGAGTCTGAGCTGGAGTCGATTTTCGAAGTCGGAGTCGGAGTTACCCGGAAATCGATCGACTCCGCAGCCTTGGTTCACCCCCCCCCCCCCCCCCAGAGGGCGCGGGTTAGGCTCAACACATCCAATGCGTTTTTATCGCTCTGGCATGCTAATCAAAAGTAATTGTTGAAAAACCGCTATGACAGTGAAATTATATCAGCTAGGATGACCCGAGGGGCATATAGCGTATCACCGGGTGCATTTTTTTCCGTTTCAGTATCCAATGACACCTCATTAAAACGCCCTGTGGGATCAAGATTTACTGTTGTACGAAGGAGGCGCAATTTCATTTTCATCCCACAACAGATGTCGCGAAATTGAGCTGACCTATGTAGGTACCGGATAGATACACACAACCCACAGTCCCACACAATTTGATTCATCCTGTCACTCAGCAATCGCTAAAAGTACCAAAGCCATCGAGGGGTCGGTGTAGCTTGGGCGAGCATTCAGTTCTTTCTTGAGGCGAGATCTGACCTTGAACTACCAGGGTAGTGAACTTTCACCTGCCTGTGTTGAAAAGTCCGAATGGACGATGCAAGTCTGGCAAGAGTTCGGGTCATCCAAAGTGATCGGACCTTGAGAGGAAATGGTGGCTTGGGCACTGCGAGCGATGTAAACATGTATATTATTTCCAGTGGGAGCTAAATCTCGGCATACCATGCTCTCTTATCGCGCCTGACACAAACCTCGACGGCATACAAATCAGCTACACAGAGCAGATAACAATTTAGACTGAGTCACACACATAATACGTGAGTATATTTTATTCAAAAGCATATTGATTTAAAATATAAACATTGGAAACCGAGACAGACGAGTGAAGATAAAAGCAGCCTCTTTCCAGCCCACTCTCACAACTCACACATACCGAGATACAAACGCTCACACACCACAGCCGCTACCAACCTCACAACACAATCATGGCACCACCGCTCCAGCCCGCCCCCGCCCCACCTTCCCTCCCCTAGGGCGCGAGGCCCAGGGCCGCCAGCACCCCCGCGGCCGCCGCCACGGCACTATCGTACTCAGTGACAGTGGACCTGCCCAGGTGGAGCTCCGGGCCGGCGGCCGGCGGCTGGGCGCCCGCGCGCTGCGCCGTCCGCGTCTGTGGCTGTCGGCGCGCCACCAGCCGGTGCAGCGACCGGAGCTGCTCCACGGCCCGGGCGTCCGCCAGCACCACCTACCGGCGGAGGGGCGAACTGAGCGTATGGAGCGGCGGGGTGATGTGGGGCCGAGGGAGACAAGCAATGGAGACGATTACGTGACAAAATATCGTAAGACAAAAGATATTCCTGCGCTGGTAGTGGTGTCAAGTCAGAAATTCGACACAATGAAATTTCTCAAAAAGCGTAACTGAAAAATATGAGCTCGCTATTATGTTACATTTAACTTTGTCTAGGCATTGCTATCAAAAACATTCTTCGTCAAAATTAATAGCTGCACGACCCACCGCTGTAAAAATAATAGAGCTTATTCCACACCCCGTTCACCATCTGACCCTTCCTCTGCCCCGCGTGGCTCCTACCTGCACCATGAACGGGTCTCTCAGGATCGCCGTCAGCAGGGTGGCCGCCTTGATGAAGATGTGGGTGCCCTTCTCGCGGAAGATGGACATCTTGTCCAGGAGCACCGACAGCCACTTATCCGCCTGGCGATGCCGGACAAAACGTGTCATATAAAATGCATACGGGGACGGGAGAGACGAAACAGAAAAGCTGCTAAACTGGCGTCAGCTGCGACTCTTTGAGTAAGCATATTGTTGAGGTACTGAATGATAGCTGTGATGCTGCGTTACATGGCCATAGCTAATTCTGAAGACCTAAGAGGCTAATAGATACCCGACGCGCTGCGAACAGCTGCAGGTTGCCCCCGGCACCACCGTCTCACCTGATGTACGCTGCTCTCCGTCTCAGGGTGCCTGGCCGCGTTCAGTAGCACGTTCAGACAGTGCGTGATCACGTCCATGTGCGGCACGGAGCGGTTACACTGGCTCATCAGCGTGTAGAGCACGGGCACGGCGCCCTCAGCCACCACTCGGCGGCAACAGACGGCAGACAGGCGGGTCACCGTCTCCAGGTGACCCAGCGCCACCTTCATGTGACCCAGGTCGCGGTAGCGCAGCAAAAAGTCCAGCGACAGCGACGTCCGACTGCCCAGAGTCATGTCCGTGGTGGCGCGACGGTTGGCCGCGGCGATATTTTGGCGCGCGCGCGAGGCACGCCGGCCGGCGCGCTGCCGCTGCGCACGACCGCGCCATGCAGCCTGAGGGGTCAAGGGACTGGTCAGCGGTGGAGCCATGATATGTTAGTCAGTATGTGCGGGTGGGGACACTCGAGCCAATTCTGACAGCAATTTGGTTATGTGCCCTCCAATGTCCAAGGTATAACAAAACAGTAGGGTAGGGTGGGGTAATTTGAACATGTGGGGCAATTTGAACATAGTGTGAATAACAGAAAATTACGGAAAATCCATAAGTGGCATGACAATAAGACCAATGAGAGAAATTATCGTAACTAAAAGGGCTATCATATGAACGGGGTTTAAACTTTCAGGGAATGAAGATGTTGACGCACAGTGTAAAAAATCAATTTCGTAAGGAAAAACACCTATCAACACGTCATTGCAACTTCATTGCAGCGCAAAATATTGCATTGCTAGCGCCTAATACGCAACGGCTTTTGTTGTATAATGACCTAATCAGTGCCTTCAATCCAAGAAATTTGCTTTTGAACCATGTTTTTTTTTTAATGGCAAAACAACTTTTAGCGTGGGGTAATTTGAACAAAGTGTGAGAATTTCAATGAAGACAGGGACGGCTCCGAAAAAAAAACAACGCTCCCAGTTTTTTTGCCAATATTTTCGACCCAAGGCAGTAGCAGATAAGTGATGCCAGTTTTAGAAAATTTACGTCTAATATCCGTCTAATGTCCGGCATTTTTGTTGATTTTCCGTCCAAAAATGTTAAAGTCAACTATTTGTCCAAATATGTCCGAAAATTATGCAGCTATCAACACTCAAAACCGTCATTTATATTGCTTATCATGTAATTTTACCAGCCGAAAAGTGTTCATTATATTGAGAGCTTAACAAGCTTTCCATTCGCCAAGCAATGCTATGCACGATTTACATATATAAAAATCAAAATGTCTGTATGAAACGCGTCAGTCACGCTTTAAGGGCTATTGCTCCGGAACGGTGCGGGCTACGGGGGTGGAATTTTGGACTAAAGTCGGACGCGTGCATCTGTTTGTCGTATTAAATTTTGGTGGGGGTGCGCTTGCCGGTTTGCACGTGGCGGGCGCATCTTTGCGGAATTTTGGGCCGCGGCCGGCGCCGAGCAGACGGCACGCGCCCTAGGCTCAGATTGTTCGCTGCGAAAATGAGGGAAAACAGAGTCGGAGGTCGTTGACCTTTGGCAATGAATACCGGACCAGGGCACCGCCGGCCAAGAGGAGACGCCAAATTTATTCTGGCCATAACTCGGCCGCTCCTGGGCCGATTTTAATGAAAATTGATTTATTACGCTGCGCGTAATGCTGTCCCTCTAGTTTACATATATAAAAATCAAAATGTCCGTATGTATGTATGTATGTATGTAACGCGTCAGTCACGCTTGGCGGGCTATTGCTCCGGAACGGTGCGGGTTACGGGGGTGAAATTTTGGACTTAAGTCGGACGCGTGCATCTGTTTGTTGTATTAAATTTTGGTGGGGGTGCGCTCGGCGGTTTGCACGTGGCGGGCGCATCTTTGCGGGATTTTGGGCCGCGGCCGGCGCCGAGCAGACGGCACGCGCCTTAGGCTCAGTTTCTTCGCTGCAAAACTGGGTGAAATCAGAGCCGGAAGGTCACTGACCTTTGGCAATGAATACCGGAACAGAGCACCGCCGGCCAAGAGGAGTCACCAAATTTATTCTGGCAATAACTCGGCCGTTACTTGGCCGATTGCAATGAAACTTGGTTTATTACGCTGCGCGTAATGCTGTCCCTCTAGTTACTTTATAAAAAGCGCTTAAGTGTAGCAAGCCATCGTCCAATGTTGTCCAGTCTGCTACCTTTGTCCAACCAATTCCGAATTGGACATTGGACAAAATCAGAACTCCAAATGTCCAGGTTTCGATTGGCACCACTTTAACCGATGTAGTACGGTTGGGAGAGTTTTTATCGAAAAAAAAAATGATAGACGTTCTGTTAATTGAAGAGGGGCGAATTCTGTCAACTGACCGGTGTGCAGCGTGCAGATATTGATACTCTGCAACTGTTATTTTTGCTGTTGTGTTGATTTTTCAAGTGAAGGTATGTTTAGAATTGTTCTGCCTATTTGTTTATGGGTCAAACAACATCGGTGCTGGCGAGACTATCGTTTTTATGACAGGTAAAGGCAGTATGTTCAAATTACCCCACGGTGGGGCAATTTGAACACACCGTGACTTGGTGGAGAAGTGAGGCTATGCTATTCAAGGTATGCTTGGCTCGTCCAAAAATGAGGCTTGCATGGTGAAAGCAAGTGACACTTGCGCTACTGAAGCAGTTTTTCTTCATCCAGGGTTGAACTGGAATTTGGTACAACGGAGAAGACGTAAAAAATATGTTCAAATTACCCCACACTACCCTATACAGCCTGAAGTTAGTTTATGTAAAATATCGGACATGGCTAATATTGATGAACACTGTCGACGTCATCCTCCAAAGCCACAGTCCACTGGCTACTCTAACCAGAGCCCGCCCGCTGTCCTGACAAGTCCCCGCCTGACGTATACTGACTACAGCTGGTCTGCAGTCCCGACCCAGCCTGCCCACTGCAGTCTGACCGACCTGCAGCGTGACGACGGCCCACAGTCGGCGCTGGGCGGCGCGGCGCGCCAGCACACGCCGCCACTGGGTCTGTAGGACCAGGGCGGCCGTCTCCCCGCGCACCAGCCGCCGGCGCTGCAGGAACCGGCGGACCACGCGCTGCCGGGAGAGGGAGGTCAGCACAACTGGACTTAGAGTGGAGGTCAGCGCTGCAGGAACCGGCGGACCACGCGCTACGGGGAGGGGGGAGGTCAGCACAACTGGGCAGATGGGAGGTCAGCACAACTGGACTTAGAGTGGAGGTCAGCGCTGCAGGAACCGGAGGACCACCCGCTGTCGAGAGAGGGGGGAGGTCAGCACAACTGGGCAGAGGGGAGGTCAGCACAACTGGACTTTAAGCGTGGAGGTCATCGCTGCAGGAACCGGCGGACCACGCGCTGTCGAGAGAGGGGAGGTCAGCGCCACTGGGCAGAGGGGGAGGCCAGGAGCATTTGTCAGCGACGGAACGAATACGAAAAGATGTGCACGCTCTGAGGAACTAAGGAACGATCGTCACTCAAGCGACTTAGTATTGAGCTCTCTTCCAGAAATCGGTCAATCCGAAAATCCATCACTATAAAAACAAAGTATAAAACCCGACTCAACTTACTGTACCACCTCTCCTCCCTCACACCACACACCACCCGCCCCTCCCCCCTCCCGGCACCCACCTGCAGTGTGACGGCGGCCGTCACGATCCTCTCGGCCTCATCCGACCGGTGTCTCGCCATCTGCCACTGGAAGACCAGGGTGCGCCGCCGGTGCGCCACCTCGCCCTCCGGTGACAACTGCGAGCCGAGTCGACAGCGAAACAGCTCTTCCGGCGGTCCAGAGTCGGCGGACACGGACGGGTTGTCTCCGTCGGTGCCAGGGTGTGTCGATGGGATGTCTGTGGCGGTATGGCAGTCAGACTGTGACGCTGGAGAGATGCTGCTGGTAGAATCATCGCCGGCAGGATGACAGTCAGAGGTGACGGGCCCGGCTGACTCCGGAGTACCTTGCCGCTCCAGGCGTGACTGATGCAGGACGACAGTGGCACGACGATCTGACGCCACGCTACTCTCTGACTCCTGGGATACACTCCGCTGCAGGAGCGACTCCGACAGGGTCACCGTCGCGCGCCGGTCTCTGCCCGGGTCTGAGGGCGGCCGGGAGGAGCTGCCGTCCAGGAGCCGCTGGGAGGAGCTGCCGTCCAGGAGCGACTCCTGCAGGATGACCGTGGCCCGGCGATCGGAGCTCGCGCTGCTCTGGGAGTCTCGTGATGCCTGACGCTCCAGGAAGGACTCGTGCAGGACGACGGTGGCCCGACGGTCGGCGCTCCCTCGGCTCAGCGCCGTGCCGGAGCGGCTCGACCCGGACAGTGTCATCGTGGAGCGCCGGTCCAACGACTCGTCCTCGGCGCCCGGGCCCAGCCGGCCGCTGAACGGCTGCAGGGTAACCGTGGCGCGCTCAAACACCTCCTCCGGCTCCTCCGTCTGCAGGGAACACCGGGCGGCCAGCAGCGACCGGTACCACCTCTGCAGGCTGAGCACCGAGCGCCTCACCTGCAGGTAGTGAACTCGCGTCCTGCGCATGGCGACAGTGGAGCGGTACCAGTCCTGCAGGATGATGGTGGCTTGTTTCTTCTTCTCAAACTCATGACGAGTGTGCTGCGCGGCGCGGAGAGACCGGAACCAGGCTTGCAGGGTCACTGCCGCCCGCCGATGTCTGAGATATTCGTCACGGACTTCCTGCATGAGGCGAATAGAGCGGTACCAAGACTGGATGATCAGACTGGCTTGTCTCTGCCTTTCGAACACCTCTCGGGTCTCTCGCATGAGGCAGATCGAACGGTACCATGTCTGAATGATAACGGCTCCCTGCTTCGTTCTCTCGTACTCTTCACGGGCCACCCACATGCAGCGAACAGCTCGATACCACGTCTGTACGGTCACAGCTGCCTGTCTCGTTCTCAGGTAGTGCTCCCGACTCTGTCTCGCAGCTCTCAGAGACCTCCAGTTCCTCTGCAGAGTGACAGCGGCCCGCCTCTGCGCCACGAACCGCCGTCGCAACAGGAACGTCCTCACGCACGACTGGACCAGCGTCACCTTCAGCACCGTGTCCCTGAGCTCGATCTGGAGGTGGCGCACGGTCCGCACGCCGCGGTACCAGGTCTGGATCGCCGCCGCCGCCCGCCGCTGCGCCACAAATTCCCCACGGTCTCGGCGCATGGCGAGCACTGAGCGACGCCAGCGCTGCAGCGTCACAGCCGCCCGTCTGCGCCGCAGGAACTCGGCCCTCTCCTTCCGCATGGCCAGCAGCGAGCGGTACCACGTCTGGATGGCGATGACGTGCTTTCTCTGCGTCAGGTAGGCCTCCCTGGCCGCCCTCGCGGCCCGCACAGACCGGTAGAACGTCTGCAGGGTCATCGCGGCGCACCTCTTCCGCTGGAAGGCCTCTCGAGCTGCCCTCATTGCCAGCAAGGCTCGGTAGTGAGTCTGAATGGTTACAGCCGCGTGCCGCTGCTGCAAGAAGACCTCGCGAGCATGCCGCATAGACTGAAGCGCACGGTAGCGAGACTGCAGAGCGATTGCAGCTTTCTTCTGACGCTGTAACTCATCTTGTATCGCTCTCATAGCCACCAGAGCGCGGTAGCGAGACTGCAGAGTAATGACAGCCTTCTTCTGACGCTGGAACTCACCTTGTTTCGCCCTCATGGCCAGAAGAGCACGATAGCGACTTTGTAGAGTGATGACAGCCTTCTTCTGACGCTGGAACTCATGTTGTGTAGCCCTCATGGCCAGTAGAGCGCGATAGCGAGTTTGCAGGGTGACCGCCGCCCGTTTCTGCAGCAGGAAGGTCGCACGGGTGTCTCGCATGGTCAACAGCGCTCTGAAACGGTTCTGGATAACAACTGCCGCTTGCTTCTGACTTTGGAACTCATTTCGTGTCGCCCTCATGGCCAGAAGGGCACGGTAGCGAGACTGCAGAGCGATTGCAGCATTTTTCTGACGCTGGAACTCATTTCGTGTCGCTCTCATGGCCTCAAGGGCACGGTAGCGGGACTGCAGCGCGATTGCGGCCCGCTTCTGGCGAAGGTAATCCTCTCGCGTCACCCTCATGCTCAGCAGGGCACGGTAGCGACTCTGTAGCACAGTCGCCGCCCGCCTCTGGCTCTGGAACTCCTCTCTGTCTCTGTTTCTGGCCAGGACTGCGCGCCACCAGGTCTGGACCGCCACGGCCGCTCGCCTCTGTGTCAGGAAGTCGTCCCTCTCGACTCTCATGGCGCGCAGAGCCCGGTATCTGCGCTGGAGCGCCACTGCCGCTGCCTTCAGCTCCAGGAATCTGGCGCGGTCCCGGCGCATATCGAGGGCGGCGCGGTAGCCGAGCTGTATCGTGGTGGCTGCCCGGAGCAGGTCCAGGTACGATCCCCGCTGGCTCCTCATCGCTGTCAGCGCCCGGTACCTCTGCTGAACTACAGTGGCAGCCCGTTTCAGTTGCAGATACGATTCTCGCTGGCTTCTCATCGCGGCCAACGCTCGGTGTCTCTGTTGAAGCACTGTGGCAGCCCGTTTCTGGGTCAGGAACGCCGACCGCTGCTGTCTCATAGCTAGCGTGGCACGGTACCGCTGCTGGAGCACTGTGGTAGCTCGTATTTGTCTCAGGAACACGGCCCGCTGGCTCCTCATTGCAGTCAGCGCCCGGTACCTCTGTTGAAGAACGACTGCAGCCTGTCTCATGAGCAGAAACTCCTCTCGTTGTTTCCTCATGGCCAGCGTTGCACGCCACTTTGTCTGGATGACGATGGCAGCCTGTCGCTGGGCCAGGAACGCCTCTCGCTGACTTCTCATCGCGGCCAACGCACGGTACCTCTGCTGAAGGACGACTGCAGCCCGTTTCTGGGTCAGGAACGCCTCTCGCTGGCTTCTCATCGCAGTGAGCGCCCGGTACCTCTGCTGAAGCACAGTGGCAGCCTGTCTTTGTCTCAGGAACTTCTCTTGTTGTTTCCTCATGGCCAACGTTGCCCGGTACTTAGTTTGGATGACTGTAGCAGCTCGCTTTTGTGTCAGGAACTCTTCTTGCTGTTGCCTCATGGCCAGTGTGGCCCGGTACCTCTGCTGAAGCACAGTGGCAGCCTGTCTCAGGGTCAGGAACGCCTCTCGCTGGCTTCTCATTGCAGTCAGTGCCCGGTACCTCTGCTGAAGCACTACCGCAGCCCGTTTCTGGGTCAGGAACGCCTCTCGCTGGCTTCTCATTGCTGTCAGTGCCCGGTACTGCTGCTGAAGCACTGTGGCAGCCTGTCTTTGACTCAGGAATGCGGCTCGCTGCTGCCTCATGGCCAGTGTAGCCCTGTACTTGGTCTGGATGACGGTGGCAGCCTGTCTCTGTCTCAGGAATGCCTCTCTAGTCGTCCTGGTCACACACAGAGAGCGACACCATGCCTGGAGCGCCGCCGCCGCTCGCTTCTTGGACTGGTATGCTGCTTGTTCTTCTCTCATTGCTCTCACGGCACGGAACCTCAGCTGTAGAATACGAGCCGCCTGACGCTTCTCCAAGAAGGCCGCCCGATGCTCCCTCATCATCACCAGCGAGCGGTACCACATCTGGACCGTCTGAGCCGACTTCCTCTGCGCGAGGTACTCTGCTCGGTTCTTCCTCATTGAAAGGACCGACCGGTACCACATCTGGATGACAATGGCGGCTCGTCTGGTACGCTGGTAGGCATCACGGTCCCGTCGCATCGCCAGCATCGACCGATACCAGGTCTGGATGGTGATGGCGGCTGTTCGTAGAGCCAGGAACTGCGCCCGCGCCTCTGCACCAGCCACGACGCTTCGGTACCACGTCTGAATGGTCGCCACGGCACTCTTCGTCCTCAGAAACTGGGACCTTTCCCTCCGCATCGCTCGCACGGAGCGGTACCAGGCCTGTATCGCGGTGACGGCGGTCCTCGTCTGAAGGAACTTGGCTCGGTCCGCTCTGCCCGCTACCGATGCACGGAATCGGACCTGGAGCGTCACAGCTGCCGCTCTCATCGTCAGAAACTCGGTTCGCTCCTTTCTTCCGGCTAGCAAGGCACGGTACCATGCCTGAATGGCGATAACAGAGGTCTTCTGCCGCTGGAATTCGGCACGGGCTCTCTTTCCTGCCTGGATGGCACGGTACCACGACTGGATGGACGAGGCAGCTGTTTTCTTCTTCATGAACTCTTCACGAGCTGCTCTCATGGCCTTGACGGCCCGGTACCACCTCTGGATTGTCCGAGCCGCTCTCTTCTGGCTCAGGAACTGGACTCGCTGGTTCCTCATGGACACAGCGGCGCGGTAGCTCTCCTGGATGATCAGCACCGCCGCCCGCGCCCTCAGGTACCGCCGCCGCTCCGCTCTGCCGGCCCTCACCGCGCGGTACCAGGTCTGTACGGTGACGGCCGCAGCCCGCCGTCTCAGGTAGGCTGTCCTCTCCGTCCGCACCAGTCGAACCGACCGGAACCAGCTCTGCAGCCGCAGCGCAGCGCGTCTCTGCCGCACCAGAGTGGCGCGCGCGGCGGCACAGGCGCGCCGGCCGCGGTACCAGCGCTGGATCCTGCTCGCCGCCAGGTGCCGCCGCAGTCGCGCCACCAGATGGCGGGCGCGGCGGCGCAGCAGCACGCAGCGCCACCAGCGCTGGAGGAGCCCGGCCGCCGCGCGCTGACGCTCCAGTTCGGCGCGGGTCCGGCGCGCCGCCATCAGCGCGCGGTAGCGGCGCGCCAGGACGGTGGCGGCGGCGGCACGGCGCGCCATCAGGCGGCGCGACAGCCAGCCGCGCACGGCCGCCTGCACCAGCACCACGCGCCGCAGGTGCTCGGCGGCGCGCCGGCGGGCCAGCCAGCGGCGCGCGTGCTTCTGCAGGACCGCCGCGGCGGCAGCCTCCGCCTGCCGGCACAGAGACGGATCGGGGCGTCAGCGGGAGGGTGAGAGGGAACTGGGGGCGGGCGGGGAATGGAAGGCCGTGGGAGGGAACTCCGAATCCTCGTCCGCCTCATCCCCATATTTCACCATTTTTAGACGAAATTAGAGGGAACGTGGTTGTGATAGCGATATGGCAGGATGACTTTGTCGTAAGCTTTGTCGTAGGGCTACTACCAATCATATTTACACTTCGTTCTACAATTTCTGATCCTATTGCTGCATAGGTGCCCTCCGCAATACTAGATGTCATCACGTAACGCTTCCCAAAGCAGCACAAAAAAGAGCTAGTTCTTGACTTAATGTATTAACCATGGAAGCGGCTGCAGAGTTACACACTTGAAGTCCAATAAGCATATAAAAGGTCCATACTACAGGGCAGCCTAGGATCAGAATCAGATTCAATGGCACAGAGCTAGATAAAACCACCCAAAGAGCTTAACATGGTATCCAGAATAAAAGGGTGGTGGATCCGCATCAGCAACCACCCCGGCCTTTCTTACGACGGGACTCGCAGAAAAGTATCTGATATACATACAATGCACGATATAGACGCTTCATACAGGACTGAGACAGGCACAGCAGAAGAGCGACATATCTAGAAGCCTCCCAAGTCCCAATCATACGCGAGGTCGACCTAATGCACTTTCACGCGACACACCATCCGCAGTGACAATATACCATCCGCAGTCACACAGCCAACTATATACGAGTTATACAGGGAAACGCCCGAACAGGGGGCGGGACAGAAAGCACGGGAAGAAGACAAAACAAAGAAGCGAGTACGACAATGAACTACGACACTACGGGATTAAGAGTAGGAGTTAAGAGAGGGGACTGTGCTAGAGTGGGAGACAGCAGAAGTAGGGCTACACTACCAAGGCGCTGGAGCACGGCACGGGTCACTAGCCCGGGGTAAGCTGCGGGGTACAGTATACGGGAAGGGACCACTACGCTCCATTTAGCGGGCCCGGGCTCTGCGTTGGCCACTCTCAGTGTACCTGCTGTCGTCGCAGGAGGGCGGCCAGCCGGCGGCGGCGCCACCATAGCTGCAGGGTACGCGCGGCGGCCACCTCTGCTCCGAGCTCGAGCAGCCGGCCGCACAGGTAGGCCAGAGTGACGGCCACCAGCCGGCGGTCGGGCAGCGTGGCAGAGTAGTCGGTCCACGAGCTCAGCACCGGCACACCGCCCAGCTCCGACATCTGGGGGAGACAGACGGTCGTGTCACACACAGGGAGGAGGGGTGGTACACACTACACAGTACACGCCGCCCAGCTCGGACATCTGGCGGAGATACGGCGGCGTCACACGGAGCGGGGACAGACGGGGAGGAGGGGGTGGTGTAGCTTCTCTTGAAACTGTCGCGTCTCGAATGTATCGCTATCACTCCCTGGTTTGAGAGCCCCTGGCTTTTGAGGGTTGGCCGTCTGGCCGGTCTATACCGTTTTCACGGTTTCACGGGCCGGCCAGGTTTCAAGTTTCAAGAGAGACTATACACGAGGGCCAGCTCCGACATCAGTGACGGACGGGGGGTGGGGGGCGTCGCACACGACAAGCAGGCGGGACACACGGAAGAGGGATGACATACGGCATGGGAAGCAATGAATCGCCCATCATTCACACTAGTCCACTTCATTTATTTTATACTCAGCACGTCCCAGCTCCACAGAGTGATCCGGAACAGCTCTCCTCGCCGTCCCCCTCCCTCCTCACCGCGTCGAAGGCCGTGTTGAGGTTGTGCTTCTCGTTCCTGCGCAGCTCGTCGGCTGCCGGCGTGTCCTCCGTCTCGCTGTTGCCGTAGCTGAACGTCAGGCTGTCGTCCAGGTCTGGATCCGGCGTGGAGCCCTGCCCGGTGGTCGGTTGGTGTCAGAGAGGGCGCGGGAACACGTCAACGCATCGGTACCACGCGGTAAGCGGTAACGGTGGTAGGGTGTGGCGTGATATTCAGATAACGCGACGCTTCAATTCAGAGCAACATTGCAAAGGACATCAAGGCAGTATGTCTGACTAGAACGCAAGCACGGACAGACATACAGTTCCACATAACACAAACTATAAAAAACATGCAATCTCTTCATACAACTCACCCCACCCTCCAACGGGCCAAAGTGCCTATTTACATGAGACTAGCCCAATCCCTAGACCCCAGCCGGCGGGCTCACCTTTCTGGCGGTGAGTGAGGTGGGCGTCCTCACGGCGCTCCTGGCCAGCAGGCTGGGCTGGTAGTGGTGCACTAGCAGGCACAGCGCGCGCCCGTCGCTGAACGAGACGCTCAGGTTGTGCAGCGGCAGCCCGTAGTGGGCGCAGACCAGGCGCGCCCAGGCCGTCAGCAGGCGCAGTGATTCGGAGTCAGGCAGGCCGCCGTCACCGCCGCCAGTCAGGTCGGCAGCCCGGTCCGGTTCGGAGAGAGTCTGCAGCTGGTGCCGACCTGCCGCGGACAGGGGGGACACATGCGTCAGACAAAAGGGTAACAGATGGGGTGCGGCGTGGCGGTAACGTAACGGTGTGGAGGTAGCGTAACGGTGTGGAGGTAGCGTAACGGTGTGGAGGTAGCGTAACGGTGTGGAGGTAGCGTAACGGTGTGGAGGTAGCGTAACGGTGTGCAGGTAGCGTAACGGTGTGGCGGTAGCGTAACGGTGTGGAGGTAGCGTAACGGTGTGGAGGTAGCGTAACGGTGTGGAGGTAGCGTAACGGTGTGGAGGTAGCGTAACGGTGTGGAGGTAGCGTAACGGTGTGGAGGTAGCGTAACGGTGTGGAGGTAGCGTAACGGTGTGGAGGTAGCGTAACGGTGTGGAGGTAGCGTAACGGTGTGGAGGTAGCGTAACGGTGTGGCGGTAACGTAACGGACGTGTGGCGGTAGCGTAACCGGTAACGGTGTTGCGGTAGCGTAACGGTATGGCGGTAACGTAACGGTGGGCAGTAAAGTATGAATATGGCGGTAGCGTAGGGTTATGATGGTATTTATTTATTCAAGTGATCACCAACAGGGCGGACCCCCACTGACAGGCGAAGTCAAGTAACGTAAGGATATGGCGGTAACTGAAGAGTAGAGTGGTAACGTAACAGACAGGGCGGTAGCGTTACGGTAGTAAAGTAACGTAACGGTTGTGATTGTCAATAACATAACGGTGAGGCTGTCGATAACATAACAGTGTGATTGTCGATAACATAACGGTGGGGCTGTCAGTAACATAGCGGCGGGTCCCGCACCCTCCTGAGGATTGGGTGTGAGGGCTGAGGTCGTACCTGCGATAGCGTCCTCAACTCCCAGGAAGCAGTTGTTGTCCAGACTGGTCTGTAGGCGGGACACCTCGCGGCGCAGCTTCTCCGTGTCCACGCACGAGTCGATCTGCAACATACGCAGACGGTGCTCTGTTAGGATCACCAGGGAGCCCAAACCGGTACGTAAGCTCAATCTCCGCGGGCTATATGCAGGGTCGGCATCACTGGCTGGGAAAGGGGTACTGGATGGTAGTTCGCTTTCCGAGTCGCCAGTCACGCTCCCTCAAATCCCATCGCGCCAAAACGCATGCACGCGTAGTAGGATGAAAGTAGAATCGCTGGGTAACCGGCGTTCATCCGATGACATTTTCCCCTTCAGCCACGGCCGCTCCCAGGGCCTCCCTTCAGGCCACCCTGCCTGCCGACGGCGGCGGGCGGCGCTCACCTGGTGTTTGAAGACGAGCAGCCAGAGCAGGTGGAGCGTCTTCTCCCGGTGTCCGTCGACCAGCGCACGCGCCCACACCTCCGGGTCCAGGTCCAGTTCCGCGGCGCGCACGGCGATCCGAGAGTTGTGGATCTTCTGCTGTCGGTCCACGGCCGGCACCCGCAGCTGGGAGGTGAGCCCGAACTGGCGGCGCAACAGCTCCACCACACGGCTGAAACAGGGAGAGAGGGCACACTGAGCAGACAGCTCCACCACGCGGCTGGAACAGGGGAGAGAGGACACACTGAACAGACAGCTCCACCACACGGCTGGAATAGGGAGGGAGGACACGCTGAACACGACTGAACAGAGTACACACAGCTCCACCACACGGCTGGAACAGAGAGAGAGGACACGCTGAACACAACCGAACACACAGCTCCACCACACGGCTGAAACAGGGGGGAACCAACTCTAACCGGGGGAGCACACGCTGAGCAGACAGCTCCACCACACGGCTGAAACAGAGGCGACACACTCTGAACCGAAGTGAACACACCTCTCGTTCTTCAGCCGACTCCTGCAAGCTACACACAACCATGTTGCCGTGCAAAGGCAAAAACGATTACGTTCGGGTGACCTCTATCCTGACGTAATGACCTCTGACCTAACGTAATCTTTTTTTTTTTTTGCCTTTGCATGGCATCACGAGTCTCCTATGAGTCCAACACCAGGGGTTCTTTGGTGACCCCTTTTGTTGTTGTTTATTGGGGCTTTAGGGCGCGTCGACTGCAAAGGTCATTTTGCGCCCATAACGTCGCGCTAGTAAAACAAGTGTTTCAAAAGAAGAAACTTTCTAGATATCAAGACTAGAAAGTAGAAGACTTTATAAAAAAGACAGGGTAAAATAAAACAACGCAAAAGCGTCGTAATAGACAACTGACTAGACAAGGAGACTAGAGAGGATTTGGGTCAGGTCGAGTAAATCACTTGGAATTTGACTGCACGGATAAAGGAAAAGATGTTGCCAGATAAAACCCAGGGTGACTCGTCACCCAGCAGGTGGCGGACAGTGGTACCCGGAGCGATGCGGCCGAGGTAGCGCGTCCGGTCTGGTTCTAAAAGTGGACAAGATAAGAGCACGTGAGCGACGGTAAGAGGCGCGGAACAACCGTTGCAAATGGCCTGCTCGTCTCCGCGGAGGAGGTGGCCATGCGTGGCATATGTATGGCCGATTCGGAGCCTGCACAAGATCACCTCGTTGGACCGGTTGTCTTGCAAGCAAGACCTCCATGGCTCCAAAGTCGGCTTCACCTCACGGAGCTTTCCGCCTCCACGTAGGCTCCACTCTGCCTGCCACTCAGAGAGAATGAAAGATCGCACAGCCGAATAAAGGTCACGCGCCGGCAATGGCAGACGTCGAGTGCAGGAGGCTGCGGCCGCGCGCCTCGCGGCCGCATCTGCCAGCTCGTTGCCGTGTATGCCGACGTGGCTGGGAATCCAGCAGAACTGAACAAATTTTCCCGATTGTTCCACTGACTGAAGTCGAGCTAAAATGTCTTGAACGATCGGGTCAACTGGATTAAAACTCCGTAACGCCAAAAGGCTACTTAGGGAGTCCGATAAAATCAAGTAAGAAAGGCCGTCCGACACCTCGATAAAACACAGAGCCTTCTCGATGGCGACTAGCTCAGATGAAAACACCGAGGCAAAAGAAGGTAGAGAGAATGAGCGGGTATCGCGACCTGCGATAAAAGCACATCCCACTCCCTCAGGTGTTTTTGATCCGTCTGTAAAAACGGTGTTAAAACCATCGTACGAGACGATGTGTTGCAAGGCCCTGACTCGCGCCTCACAAGGCAGCAAGTCATCCTTCTTAACTTCGGAGAGTGAGAGATCTACTTGAGGTTTTGCGTGTTTCCAAGGCGGAGAGGACGTACCCCAGCTACGTCGTACGACACGTAAACCTATGTTGGCTGCGGAGAAGAGACCTCTCATGCGCGCTCCAAAGCAGAGCGATTGTCGCGCTCTGTCAAGTCGAGTATAGTAGGTGGAGAAGACGTACGGATACGTCGGATGCGTCGGGAACTGACGCAGTTTCAGCGCATAGCGCATGCCAAGCATCTGGCGGCGTAGGGATAGAGGCGGCTCGTGCGCCTCAGCAAGAAGGCTGCTGCTGGGCGAGGTGCGGAATGCTCCGGTGGCGACACGGATTGCAGCATGATGGACTGCGTCGAGGACCTTTTTGCTGGATTGGCTCGCTGAATCGTACACAAAAGAAGCGTAATCCAGCTTCGACCGAACTATCGATCGGTACAGGAGAAGAAGGGTCCTGCGGTCCGCCCCATAAGATGTGCGAGCAACACATTTTAAAACGTTCAGGGATTTAAAACACCGTTCCCGAAGCGTTCTAAAATGTTCCTTATACGTCAAGCGACTGTCAAAATAAATCCCAAGAAACTTCGCCACCGGCCGAGTGGGAATCACCTGTCCGTAGAGCTTGATTCCCAAAGCTAGGTCGTCACAACGTCGGCGGCAAAAGTGCATTGCCACGGTCTTCACTGTGGAAAAACGAAGACCATTCTTACCGCTCCACCTCTCCAAACGTGTTACGGCGAGCTGCAGCTGTCTAGCCGCGTGTCGAGCGCTTGAAGCAGCAAACCAGATGGCAAAATCGTCGACAAAAAGCGATCTCCCGATGGAAACCGGGAGGTCGTCGACGATGTCATTGATTGCCACCGCGAACAACGCCACACTAAGCACCCCACCCTGGGGAACTCCGTTCTCCTGGGTAAAACTGCTCGAGAAATCACTGCCAACTCGGACTTTAAACCGACGACCCGATAAAAAATTATTGATAAAGAGGCCCATCCGGCCGCGTATGCCGTACTTATATACTTTGGAAAGTATGCTGTGTCGTAAGACTGTATCATAGGCCGCCTCAATATCAAAGAACAGTGCTCCAAGGTGCTTCTTTTCAGTAAAACAGGTGCGTATCTCGGTGTCAAGGGCTAAAATGTGGTCAACAGGGCTGCGGTGCTTTCTAAAACCGCACTGGGCGTTTGTAAAAACACCGTGATGTTCCAAAAACCAGCTAAGACGCACATTGACCATCTTCTCCATCAGCTTTGAAAGCGATGATGTGAGAGAGATGGGCCGATAGTGGAGAGGGTCATGTCCCGACTTGCCAGCCTTCAAGATAGGAATGATAGTGGCTTCCCGCCAGGTCTCAGGGAAAGTGCCAGTCTCCCAAAGCGAATTGAAAGTTGCTAGCAGCGCCTCGAGGGCAACTGCTGGGAGATGACGGAGCATGTCGTTGTGGACAGCATCCGGACCTTCTGAGACGCTGCGCAACGAGCTGATGGCAGACGTGAGCTCAGCCATAGAGAAAGGCTCATTGTACATCAAATTTTCAGCTGTGCTGAAGTCCACGGCGGCTGGTGCAGGTCGTGAGGACGGCTCTCCTCGGCAGCGCTGATAGAGTGCACGGCCTATCGTCTCTGCGACGTCTAAAGGGTGGGATATGTCCGTGTTGTTCACTCTTAAAACCGGAAGCGGAACAGAGCTGAACCGGCCTTCAATGCGCTTCATGCGTGCCCATATCTGGGTCGTAGGAGTAAAACGGTTTAAGGAACTCACGTACGTGCGCCATGAAACAGCCTTTGCCTCTTTTAAAACGCGACGGGCAAAAGCCCGCGCTTTCTTAAAAGCGATGAGGTTCTCAGTAGTACTACTCCGGTCAAACTTTCTAAAAGCGCGCTTCCTGGCACGAATCGCATCTCCGCATTCCTTGGTCCACCACGGGACCGGAGGACGACGAGGCTGACTCGACGTCTTGGGTATGCACCCGTTTGCGGAGTCAATGAGTAAACATGTAAAATCATCTGTAGACATCACAGAGGCGTCGGCTCTGGATAAACCGTGGCCTCTACGGCGGCCTGGAATTCGCCCCAGTCGGCCTTCCGAACATTCCACCTAGGTGGACGGTTGCCTGACACTGGAGACTCCTGGTGCTCCAGCCACACTGGGAAGTGGTCGCTCCCGAGTGGGTCGTCATGGACGGACCAGGTAAAAAGCTGAGCTAGCCGCGGACTGACTAAGCTCAGGTCCAGAGCCGATGTTTGACCGGAGGGTGTTGTAAAATGGGTGCGCTGTCCTGTATTTAAAATACACAGCGCCTCATCGCGGATAAAAGATTCTAAAAGTCGACCACGAGTGCCAGTCGTGTCGCATCCCCACGCCAGGCTATGGGCATTAAAATCGCCGACTACCAGGACCGGAGGTGGAAGCTCATCGACAAGTCGATGCAGCTCAACCACCGGGAGCGCTATACCTGGTGGTAGGTATAAAGAGCACACTGTCAGTTCCCGGTGGTTGAAATCAACTCTGGCGGCCACCGCCTGCAGGGGAGTCTGCAGCGGCACCTGGCGAGCAGGTACGCTGTGGTGAACCGCCAGAAGCACACCTCCATGGGCAATGGTAGGGGTGTCCAGGTCTCTTCTAAAAACAGAGTAGCCCTTGATGGCAAAGGTAACGTTTGGCGCTAGCTTGGTCTCCTGGAGACCTAAAATAAGGGGTGTGCGCCAACGGATAAGATAAGTAGTTGGCCCGGAGGCCTCTACAGTTCCACTGTAGAATAAAAGGCGTGGTTAAAAAGGCGCAAAAAGGGCGCGTATAACATGAGGCAAAGGCGCACACAGATACCTGACTGACCACAAAAAAGGTAAAAAGCACCGAGAGAAATGCACCTGGTAAAAAAGCGCAATAGCGCGAAAAAGATAAAAGGATAAAAGAGGAAATGACTAGACTGAAAGACTAGACTAGGTCCTCTAACTCCGAGGAGGCGCTCCCCCCGTAACGGATACGGGGATGCCCCGAGCCCTCTCGGTGTAGCCTCCCTTCAGCAGAGGCAGATCGGGCGTGGCTCGAGCCCTGCTGGGGCTTTTTCGCCCGGGGGGCGTCACCCTCCGAGGGTGACCAGCTCGGGGGCGTCTGCCGCTTGGCGAGGCGCCCTGGAGCCGCGGAGGTCTGTTGCCGCCCCGACGGGGATGTCGAGGCGGCGGCCTGTGTCCTCGACACAGGCGTCTCTGGCAGCGGCGGTGGTGGCCGCCGCTGCGGAGGTGGAGGAGGCGGCGGGGGACCCATGATGGGCCGAGTCCCCGCCTCGGGTGTCTCCGGGGTGTCAGCGGCAACAGCCGCTTTGGCACTCCCGGAGGCGGAGTCGGCAGACGAGGCTTCCTTAGCCTCGAGGGCCTTCTGGACGAGGCGAGCCCTCCTCGCCTCGCGTGCCTTCCTCTCCTCCTCCCCCCGCCGCAGCGCCTCCTGCACCGCCGTGGGCGGTCGGGGGCGGGGCGGGGTGGGTGGCGCCTTACCCTGCGCCGGGGGGCGCCGACCACCCTGTCGGCGCTGGACGACGGCCCAGCCGTCTCCATCACCGTTCGCGGCTGGAGCGGGACTGGGTGGACCCCACACTGACTCTAGAGCAGCCTGCTCTGTGTTGCTCGGCGGCGCACGAGGCGCCGTGGTGTCCGCTGAGTCACCAGTGGCTACGACGGTGAGGCCGAATCGTTTGAGAAGCTGCACGAGCTGTGCTACACTCATCTGGGAGGCATCGGTAGAGTTTGTGACTCTCACCTTCTGGGCATACGAGGTCTTCGGGTGACTCTGGTTGTACACCTCCCGGGCCTCTTTGAAAGACAAATTTCTGGTAGCCTTGATGGTCATGATCTCTTTCTCCTTGACGTATGCCGGGCAAGACCTATCATACGCGGAGTGCGGCGTCTGCCCCTCTCCGCAGTTGACGCATCGGGGGGTCTCCGAGTCACAGGTTTCGTCAGTGTGGTCCTGCGAAGCACACTTGGAGCACGTGGGTCTTCCTCGGCAGTTGTCCTTTGTGTGGCCGAAACGTTGGCAGCGGAAGCAGCGCATGGGCGCTGGGACGAAAGGCCGCACGCGAACCTTCACGTAGCCCACACGAATCTCACTCGGCAAGTCAGTCGAGTCAAACGTCAGAATGATGTTGTTGGTCGAGACCGTGCCTCTCTTCGTCATGATGCGGCGAGCCGCTGTCACGCCGAAATCGGCGAGCCCGTCCGCAATGTCCTCGTCGCTCACTCCCCTCAGATCGAAACAGTTAATGACCCCTCGTGAGGAGTTCTTAGATCGGTGAGGTTCCACTGTAAGCGGGATGGAGACGAGCCTCCGGCCGGATGCCCGTCCCTCGGAGAACACGAAGCGAGTAGCGTCTAACGCTTTCGCCGCCTCCTCGCTTTTCCTGAACTCGACTTCCAGCGCGCCATCACGCATCCGGTCACAACGAGCGATTGAACCAAACCGGTCGCAGCCATCTTTCCGCTGGAAGGGCGACAGAGAGCTCAGCTCCCTGTCTGCGCTCCGGAAGATAAGGATCTTAGGAGATCGTGGACCTTTGTCGAGCACCGTTCGCCTGTCGGCCGAGGCCAACGGGCGAGGATCGGCCGAGGCCGAGGGATTGGACTGGGGGGAAGGGGGATCGGTCAAGTTATCCATGTGAAAGAGTTGGTCTCCGCCAGCTCGGCCGCCGACGCTCCGCAACGGCGCCGCTACAAGGCCTAGGACGGCCGAGCTGACTGTACGGGACTTGGCGGCACCTTCCGAGGGGGAGAGAGAGACTCACCACCCCCCACGGTCGGATACCGCCTCCTCCCTTGACGCCTCGCCGAGTCACCGCCAGGGGCAGCGACAGATCAGTCCCACCGACGGAGGACGAGCACAAGTGCCCGAACCCCGCCGGCGACACCTCTCCGACACCACCCCCGGCGGCATCACGACTGGGAATGGCTCCTCAAGTGCGGCGCCCCACTGAGTGTCCCGCCCTTACAGAACTCAGGGCCAAAGAGGCGTGTTGCCCAGCCACCGCGACTGGCTCCGCACGGTGGGGGGGCTCAACCTCCAGGATCCCGTTGTCCTGGGGTACGGGTCGGCTCGCCTAGCCTAGTAAAACCGGCTGGTACCCGAGGGGACGCCACTCCCCTTACACTAGCCCAACTCGGCTGTGTTCCTGCGGGTGCAAAAACAACGAAAAAGAGGGTAGGAAAGGGATCAGAAAGCTGTGAGCGAGCGAAACGCGGACATCCGGTGAGAAGCAAAGTAAAAGCAAACAAAGGCCGCTCAAGAGAAATAAAACCACGAAAACCAAGAAAAGTCGGGCCGTACCATCTGTCCAATGTCCATCCAGCGATCAAAGCAAGTCGTAAGCAAGCATGGGTCAGGCTGGGGCCGAGGGGGCGCTACTCCCCTTGCTGGCCGGGGCCAGGGCCACCGCGGGGCAAGGGCCCAAGGAACCCAGACCAACAGCGACCCAGGCCACTTCCAACCCCCTGCGGGGCCAATCCTGCAGACAATCCATCCAGTAAGCAAGGCAAGTCCAGGTCAAACGCGCGTCAAGCTGGGGCCGAGGGGGCGCTACTCCCCTTACTGGCCGAAGTCACAGCCGCCGCACAGCCGGAGCCAGATGACCCCGGCTAAGCAGCAGCTCTGACCACGGTCAGCCCCCTGCGGGGTCTTTGGTGACCCCTCACCATTCCACAGTTACCTCGCAAGTCGCACACGTCCAAGTCCCACTCACGTGAGTCGGACGCCGCAGCGCAGGTCGGTGGCCAGGTTGGTGACCGCGTAGCTGAACTCATCCAGCATCGTCTGCCGGTGGGAGACCTGGTAGCCGTGGAACGCCAGGTGCTTGGTGATGTCGCCCTCGCCGGCCAGCATCTCGCGAGAGAAAGCCACCAGCAGGTCGCGGCTCGCCTGAGATGCATCGAAACGAGCGGGGATGCTTAGCGGTAAGCGGGTGAGGGAATCTGGGGTGGAGCGGACTGGACAGAGGTCGTGAGCGATGGACGGAGGGGGGGGGGGGGCAAGCAGTGAGCGCACCGGGGGCGGGGCGGAGACGGGGGCGAGAGGGCGAAAGGGGGTAATACAACAGTTTAGACGCATAACAAGTAAACAGCATAAGACCGAGGCAAGGTCAGAAACGTTCATGATAGAATATTGATACGGGCGCCTGAGCTGCCGAATAGTTCAGTTTTCAGCGACTGCATTACTGCAGTTTTCCGCTGCCCTGCTGGAGCGGCCCGCTGACGGATCAGGCGGGGCAGCTGACAGGATAACACACCCACCTTGATGGCGGCGTGCTTGTTGAAGAGACAGGGGTCGTGGTTGATGAGCCGCTGTCGCTTGGCCGTGTCCAGCAGCAGCACCAGCAGCAGGAACTTCTTCAGCGTGAACTGCTTCAGCTCCGCCTCGAAGTTGGGTCCGTACAGGTGGGGCACGGACGGGTGGCAGTGCTTCGCCGCCAGGTCCGGACACCACAGCAGCCTGTGGGAAACGCGCACACACGGCGTCAGACGCGGTGAAAACGGCACAATATACTCGATAAACAGTTAATACACAGCAAAATGCCCAAAGCACAATATAGGCCATATCGGAACTAGCTTAGTTTAATCATGGCGGCTAGCTATGGATTCGCACACCAAAACCCAAGAGCCCAAAGGGCGCGACCAGCAGCCGATAACTAACACCACGCCACCACGCCCGCCCTAGGCCGCCTTTGTCAGTCCCACCTGGAGTTGATGAATCGCGCCAGGGTGGGCAGGTCGTCGGGGCCCTGCAGGTGGATAATCTCTCCGTAGATGGTCTCCAGGCCCAGCCGCAGCCACAGCGGATGGTAGCTGAGCAGCCACTGCATCACCAGCTGTTTGAGACCGACGTCAGCGTGCAGGGCGCGGTCGCGGCGCACGCGCAGACCGCCGCGCTCCACCTCCACCTCCAGATTACGGATGACGCGGGTCATCTCTGGCCGCTCGTACAGCCGGCACGCGTCCAGACGGAGTCGGTTCAGCCGCCGCTGGGCCGTGTACTCGCGCAGGGAGAGCGTCTCGCGACTGGGCGCCGGCGGCACCCGGCTGCGGCGCACCTCCAGCAGAATCTTGGCGGCGTCCACTGCGGGGGAGGGAGGCGATAGGGATGGTCAGTGGAGCGTTAAGACGTAGTGGAAGCAAAAAAATAAAAAGGACGCGATAAAAAAGAACACTGTGAAGAGCTACTTAAAAACAATACGATGTCCGGGATTTCACAGAACGATACGTAATCAGATGATAAATAAATTAATTAGTTTGCTACGAATACACCGTGCAATGTCACTCACTGAACACCTGTCCCCTGCTAACACTCGACCTGCAGTTCCTCGGCGACTCACCCTTGGTTTCCACCGCCTTCGAGCTGTACTCGCTCGGCGTCAGAATAAAGTTCAGCCACGCCGTGAAGCCCCGCTCCTGCTTCTCAATCCAGTCCTTGTCGTAGAACATGTTACTGTGCAGGGAGGAAGCAAATCGTTAGTATATCTGGCAAAAGAGAAACTCCAGGTCAAAATAACGACCTACAGAGTACAGACATCAGTTAGCCTGACAGCAAAGCGACGATTATCACAATAAGACTAGCATTGCTCTAAGTAGTTCAGGCACAGCCTTTGCCCGTCTCTCATCTCTCACCTGGCCGCGAAGGGGTTGGGCTGGGTGGTCACCGGTTTGGCGGCGCGGGACACCAGTACGAGCTTCTTCTGTTGGATGGGCGCCGGCACCGAGCGCCGGCCCGAGTGGGCCGACCGGCCGGCGGCGACAGACGCTGTCGGGACAGAGAGCGGGATCAGATCGACACAGACAGAGTTGGTGGCGTGGGAATAAGTGTGCCCGATACTCAAGTTTGAACGCTTAGTCTTCAAAATACCAAGGAGTTGCTAGAACTACTAACCGTAATTTTGTAGGTGTAGTATAGCAAAACTCGATTCTCTACAAAACACTACGCATTTAGAACAATTAGTTTACAATCTATCTATTGACTCGGGCCGAAAAGGCAGATGCAACCACAGAATAGCAGCCAAAAACGCAAACTCGATAAACGACGCATTCTGCGACTGTCGCTAGAATCAATCCCTTCTCATAGAAACCACCAGTTCCATTGGTCCCCTATCTGACCAATTGACCTATCTGATCTGACTATTGATCAATGGCCTTACCGGCGGCTCCGGTGGGCGAGGACTTGGTGCGCACCACCCTGGCCTTGCCGGGCGTCACTGTCAGCGAGGGGCGGCGCGCGCGCGACTTGCTCGGAGTCCGGGCGGCGCGCTTTGCGCTGCGCGGTGGCGGCGCCGCCTGCTGGGAGCGGCCGGCAGCCTCGCGGCGGCTCAGCGCGCTGACCGAGCGGCGTGCTGCCGCCACGGCCATGGCGCGCGCCGACGGCTGCACGGGCGGCCGCGGGCCCGGCGGCGGCGGCGGCGGCTCTGACTCCGGTGACAGCGGGAAGAACAGCAGACCGGTGGGCCGCTGCAGGTGGGGTTTGGCCGCCGCCCGCGGCTCCTGGACCTGCTCCACGCTCGGCCCGTCACCCTGCGACCGCTCCGCCGGCTGCGGCGGCTCAGTCGCCTGCTCCCGCTTCAGCTCCCGGGCAGAGACCTGCTGCAGGCTCTCAGTCACCTCCCCGGCCGCCGTCGAGTAGCCGTCGACCGTGGCCCATGAGCCGTCCGATCCGGCGCTCTGGGTCTCCTGGTGCACCGACCCGCTGGTCTGCGTCGGCGCCTCAACACCGGCCGGGACCGACACTTCACGAGTGTCCGGTACCTCACGGGCTTCCGGCACCTCAGGCGCCTCCTCTCGCGTCTCCTCCAGGGAGAAGGTCAGGTTGCGCGTGGACGTGGATGTCACGTTTTCGCTCTCCTCCCTGATCAGACTCAGGGCTCCACCAGCGTCAGCCGACCAAGACGCGCTCACCAGGGGTGGTGGCGACACGCAGGGCACCGCCAGACCCGAGGGCGCCGGCGATTTGACGTAAGTCTCCGACGACAGGTTGCCGGATACGTCTGACATCGCGTCAGCAGCGACATCCACGTGAAGGGGTCCCAGCAGCGCGGCGGCAGCCTCTGCCTCGCCGGCCGATGCACCCTTGCCGAACAGCTCCTTGGCGATGGCCGAGCGCTGGGCTCCCGCCGCGGGCGACTGCTCCTCCCGCGGCTCTTTGACCAGCGTCGAGCAGCGCCGACCGCCAGCGCCGGCGGTCGGTGTCAGTCGCGGCGAGCCCAGCACCGCGGCCAGGTCGGGCCGGCCGCCGCGCACTGGTGAGCCGTAACAGCGCGTCTCCTCTGTGCGCGAGCTGCGGGAACTGCGCAGCAGGCGCGGCGACTGGCCGGGCGCCGGCTCGACCACCTCGCGGCTGAACACGTGTCGGATCAGGGTCTCCTCCTCCACCACCTCCTCGTGCACACAGGTGGCGCGCTCCTCGGCTGAGCGCCGCGCTCCGGTCGCCGGGGAGCCGATATCCCCAGTACTGCTAGTTGTGGATGTGGAGCTGGCCAGCGTTTCGGAGCGGGTCGCGCGCCGGGAGGTGGCCCGCGTCTCCGCTGATGACGTCACACTGGTGGACCGGCCGAACAGCTGAGGGGTGGGCATACTCATCAATCCCTGACGCAGGGCGGCGATCTCGTGCGTCGGTTCGGAGTCTGGGTCGTCTACGGTCGAGGGGCTGGACTCTACCTGTTGGTCACTGCGGGATTGCCTGGCAGCGAACAGCTGCGGCGTCTGTATCACGCGTTCACCATCATCGGTACTCTGTACGGCCACATACTCCTGACATTCCTCCACGTATTCAACCGTCTCGCACCGCTCTTCACGGACCTGAACTCGCTCTTCATAAACCTCTCGCTCTTCCACGCACACACCCTCAAACACTTCATCGTACTCATCGCTACGCACGGTTTCACGAACTCCGAAACGTTCTTCCTCTCGCACGTCGACCCGCTGCCCGCGAGATTCGTGACGCCTCTCCCCATGCGTTTCGAGGCTGTCATCGTCACGCACTTCGAAGCGTACACCTCCACGGGTCTCAAACCGCTCAGACTGCGACTCGGTCCCAGTTAACGCGATGTCATCTCGCGTCTCTCTTCTCTCCCGAGTCTCTGTTCGCGTTTCCGATCGCGATGTAGTTTTGCCGAACAGTGACGGTGTCTTCATCCAAGCTTCTGGCTCCGCTGGAATCGATGGTCTAGCGCGAGTCGAGTGCTCCGTCAAATGAGCCATGTCTATCCGGGCGACGCTGTGGCGACTCTGCCGGCCACTTCGCTCAGTCCGCTCAGTCACCTCAACCGTCTCGCGGTCGCTCCTCTCCTCCTGGCAAGAGCGCCGCTCGCGTCGTCTCGTCCGCTCTTGTCGCGCCTCGCCGGCGGCCGTCTTCCCGAACAGAGATGGTGTGCGCATCCAGTCATCGGGCGAGACCTGGTCGGCGGGCGCCGCTGCGGCAGTCTCCCTCCTCTCCGCGGCAGCCGGCTGGCGGCGCCGAAACAGCTGCGGCGTCTCGAACACGTCTCGCGGGTCGGCCGGAGCGTCTTGGTCGCCCTCCTCCAGCGGCTCCAGCGGGAGACAGAAGGTGGTCGGCGCCGCGCCCAGCGTCGGACCATCGGTGCGAATGAAGGTCTGACGCCTGAGCGGCGACTCCGGCACCGTGCAGGGCGGCAGGGCGTCTCGCTCCGGTGACTGTGTCGGCGGCGGGTCCAGGCGGAACGTGCAGCCCATCGGCGCACCGGCCGGCACCTCGAACGTCTGTCTGCGCGGCGTGACGTCTCCGGCGGCGGCCGGCGGTCGGGCAGCGCGCCCGTCGCGGCGGCGGGCCGGCGTGCCGGGCGCCTCCTCGCTGCGGATGAGGCTGACGGAAAAGTCGGGAGGAGTGCGGAGGACGTCCAGCAGCGTGGAGCAGTCGGCAGAGGTCTCCAGCCGGTGGGTGGAGTTGAGCGGTCCGGCCGCCGGCGGGCACAGCAGACCGGCGGACTGAGCCGGCGGCCGGCCGGCCGAGCGCGGGGGACGGTTCTCCCGCTCAGCGGGCGGTCCGGCGCGGGTCTTGGCAGGCGGCTTGGCGGCCGCCGCCGGCGCCGAACGGCCAGCCGAGGAGCTGTTCAAGGAGCGCAGCGGCTGCGGCTTCCGGAAGCGGGCGCCGGGTGCCGAGGCGACACTCTTCTTCTGAAACAGATCGGAACGTAGGTACGTCAATTACACGTTAGACATCATCGTTGAGAAAAGATATGGTCACGGGTCTGCACATTGCGATTTCATACATTTCAGTTGCAGACATATGCCAATATGGCAACAATCCAATGCTGTGTGACTCAACACTCCAATCCAATGTGCCCGGAAACATTTCAAATTAGACGCTTTCGTCGATAAATTATTTTTCGATGTAAATTACGTAAAGAGGATATAATTGCACTTCCTTGAATTGCTGGTCTTTGCTAAATGTTTGAAAGCATTAACACTGGTGAAGCCACTACCCAAGATGCAAACAACTTTTCACTGGAGCGATAGGGCAACCCAGCCTGATCCCGCCCCCGACCCCTGCTGCCCGGCCGCCGTACCTTTTTGGCGGCCTGCAGCGGCCGGCCGGTCCCCAGCAGGATGGCCTGCGCGCGCACGCCCGTCGAGGTGCTGACGCCCAGCACGCCGCGCACGTTACCCTCCTGCTCGGGCGTCCAGTGGACGGCCAGCACGGCGTCCATTAGTGCCGGTACCACTAGCGACGGCACCTCCACCGCGAAACCGTCCGGCACCTTGTCCACGAACAGCTGAGGGAGCGGGGGGAGGGGCAGAGGTCAGAGTGGGGGCAGAGGCGGTGTGCGGCGTCAGGTCACATAACCAGCGCACAGCGGATAAGTGCCAGGTCACGGTACCATAAACGCCACACGCCAGGTCAAGGTCATGGGAGCATGTCTTACATATGACAATGATTCTGCCCAATGCAGAATCACTCACTTATATCAGTTTCATTCCACGACAGTCAACCAATATTACTGAACCCTGCCGACAGTTTATGCAGAATGCTTGTTGAAACTGTCGAATTGGATGTCTGGAATTGAGCATCAAACAATGTAAAAATGTGCAATCACGGGACTATCGATTCAGTCACCATTTAACCTCCGCTAAATACCGAATAAGTAGGTGAGCCCTCGACAAAATTTGGCACCCCATTCCAAGCTGTGACGGTCTGCGTTGTGCGAAAAAACGAACCAACGTCGGACACCCTCGGCACGGTTGCGCAGCAACTCTGGATAGCCATAGTCTGTTGTCCGTGATTTTCCGGGCTTATTATATATAAATCGGGGAGACATACAAGGTACCTATGAGCACCATAACTACCGGCCACAGTAATTCCACAGAAGATACCGTCCACACCGGTCGCATCCCGCGTTATCCACCGGTCCGCCACCCGCGCCCTGCTCACCTCCAGTTCGGTGTCTGCCGGGTTCTGCACGATGAGGCCGATGGTGCGGGTGGCGCCCACCCTCACTGTGCCAAACGACACCTTGGGTGTGGGCGCGAACCGGCGCAGCTGGAGGACCGGCACCTGCTCCGGGCTGCGCGGCGCGCGCCGGTCCGGAGGTGTCCGCCGCACCTGTGACGTCAGATCAGCCAGTCGGGATGGTCAGCGGCGGAATCACGGCGTGGGGCGAGTGTCCCAGGTCAGACAGCCCAGTGGATAGCTGCTGAATCTGACAGCTCTGCAAGACAACTGTTCTCCAATTGACCTCGTGAATGGGACACCTGTCTCCTGACTTTTAATCCAGTACAGATCAAAACTGGAAATTGGCTAATTGTATGGCAAACATAGCTTATAGTCAGGAGACTGCTGCAATAGGTCTTTGCTGCCATATCTAGCTGCTACATGCCAAACTCTGTCTAAGTTGAAGTAGAAAACAGGACAGAGGTAATTGAGTGGAGGATACTTGTTACTGATGCTGTGCAACTGGATGCACTTAGCAGGCACCAAGGTTTATGCATGTCTGCTAACTCAAGTCTCAACCATCAAGCTCCAATTCATAATGCCCCTTCATAAAAAGCAGCAATAATTAACAAATATAAAATGCACATTGAAACAGAATGTGGTCTTTGAAAGTGTCTTACCTCAAATGATACTCCCCTTGTAGCCATGGTCTGAAAAAGGTAAGGGTTTAGGGTAGTTGTCAACAGATTTACTTGTAAAGTAAAGACACTTAAATTTTAATTGGTGACTTGCTGGCATCCTTTTTTCAATGTACACACAGAATGTTCAAACTAGATAGGTGGGTAGCTAAAAATCATCTGTGCAAAGTACAAACCCTATGTGACAGCAATTTTTAGAAACTGTTCAATTACTTTTCTCACTAGGCTGTTAATTAATTCTACTTGTCTTGTGCAACAACTGCTTATCCTTTTCAGGCAGTCACTGGGTCTGTTCTGGTCACTCCACCAGCCTGCTCTAAGCCTCTAAAACTTTGTTTAAAAATGTTTCCCTGCTCCCACCATTCCTCACTCCTCAGAGCTCCTCTCGTCCCTTCTGTCAACACGATTTTCCTCCACCCAAGTGTTTGGTATTACAGAGGAGGTTAAAATTGCAAATAGTGCTAAATACAGCTGGGCATTGCCTATAAATGTATTCTAGAGGAGGATAAAGCAGATATATGATGGTGCACAAATACAGTTGCTGCGCACTGTCTATAAATGACATTTGAGTGGTGTGGAAACACAAGTGAGGATTCTGGATGCTATAGTATTCTAAAAGGTGATTTTTGATTTACATCCGCATTGTTTATGAAAAGTCATGTTAAGCTCAACCAATATTGCTATACAATGAATCACATACCTACCTACTGTGCAGTATATAGCCTGCAAATCACTGGTTTTCTCTCAAAAATATTCCTTGAGCTGCTCAAACAGCCTCCGATCATTTGAAAAAGGATGTAATTCATTTTTAAATGGACGTAACTCAATTTCGAAAAGAAATTCAGTTTTTTCCAAAAGATTAATTTTAATTTAAATAATTAAGCATGTCACACTCCTCACTGAATGTCGGCAGTTACACAACACATCAGCATTTGTTAACAAAAGTTCCAACCACAGGTTTCGTTAAATGTCAGACGATTCATTTATTTATGGATTGACTCTTTGATAAGCTACAAATTGAAACTCAAGACCAAACTAAATGCAATGTGATCATCATAAAGAACAGCACAATTCAAGTATCACAGAAATATTACATACCTCTCAACCTGTGGGCTGTGACTTGTGCAAGCCTTCAGTTTTCAACAAGACAATGACATACTAGAAATAAAATAAATCCAGCAATACTTTAACAGCATCCCAAAGATAATAAAAGAAGGCGTCTAGGGCTCGCTGAGATTGTTTACGACCATTTTCACACCACAGCGACAGAACACCGTGCCGACGAATTGCGGCATTTAAAAATTCAAATTGCGACACATTTCAACGAATATAAAGTGATGGGCAATGCCTAAGTACTTAGTTTAGATTTTTCCTGGTTTTTGATTGGAGGTCAACTTTGTCTTTTGATAATTTGTATTTTAAAGAGAAAAATTAATTTTACTTGATTTTTCAATTAAACTTAACAAAATATATGAAACTCTACTCGTTCAGCTCAGAAAGTACCAAGAAGTACCTGCAAGTATTTGGTAGCACAGCTGCTGCCAAAAACTCGGCGACTCCTTGGCGGAAAGGCAAATAAACGCCAAGTAGGGGATCCAAGCTTGGGGGAAGAGGGACGTTTATAGCAATTGTGGGTTGCCTTTGCATATGCCAGGGGTGGAGTTAGATATGCTTTTTAAGGGTGGTACGTGCAAACAACCAGGAAAAGTGCAGCCCGAATGCTGGTTCGGGGAACCCGAACTTTCGGCCCGGCCGCCCCTTTCATTCAGGTGCCGCCCCCGCCCCCTCCCCCCAGCGATAGGTGCCGCCCGAGGTTATGAAAACCTTTACTGCAGCCCGTCCATCCGGTAAGGCCTGTTCCTCGCCCTAAATAAGCGCTGCCGCTCAGCCAGATAGGTGTTGGCTATAGATATGAGGTAGAATGATGGTGCCGCCTCTAAATCAGGTAGATGCTGCCCCTCCCCCTCGGCAAGCAGGCGCGCACACAGGATTTTTGAATGGGGGGGGGGGGGCACGACCTGCGAACTGGGCCCCCTTCCATGCCGAAGGGCCCTCCCCCCCCCCCCCAAATAAGGTCTACGGGATTATATTTCGTTTGGCTTGAAATTTGAGCTTTTGTCAATGCATGGTAAACAATTATTTCGGTACTAGCTTAATTTTCAAAACATTTATGATACTTTTAACGCTGGAATGTTGTATTCAAATGCGACTCTTAGTCGGTATATATACCTAACGATCTTAGCTTTACGTAAAACATTCAATTAATGAGCATTTTTGCAAGTATCTCGGAAATCAGCCCCGGGCAGCGACTGACTGCCGGCCGGCCGACCGGCCCCGGGTGGCTAGAAGCAGGGGCCGGTCACCGTTCTGCCTGGATGTGTGGGAGCGGGAGCAGGCAGCAGCACTCCTTTTTCACGTATATTCGCATATTCGACCTGACCTGTGACGTCATCGGTGACCTCGAGGTCAATGAAATTTGGTTTCCCATAATAAATTTGATAGGGCTATCGAACGCCGTTGAATTTTCCGGATCCGTCCAGTAGTTTCGGAGATAGGTACGTGAGGAGATTTATTAACTGTATCATTTCATTGCTAATTTATATTTTAGTTCCATTCCATTATCTTAGATCGCTCTTAGACCGCATTAAATAAATTCCCCGGCACAAACCACAAATGTACGTCAATTGCTGGTAGGGAACACCACATGCGACAAGGCAATAACAAATTTCACAATGATCCATTTACACAAAAGCATTCAGCACTAAAATACGAATAACACTGACAACAAAAACAAATTAATCCCGTTCGTTCGCTGTGTTGCGGTCGTGGCACAATAAATAATATCACAGCGCCGCGGATCGCGGCGGCAGACGAAGCCTCCGCTCACTTCTCAGAAGTGATGGGAGCCGGCCACCCCAGCCGCCCCAGCCTCTCAGAAGAAGCCCGGGTTTGTGTGCTCGATGATGCAGCGTTTGCAGTACTTTTTCACGGTGCGGTAGCCCTCCAGAGTGACCGGCGAGTCCTGGATGTTGAGCTGCTGCAGGCCGCGGCAGTAGTAGGCCACGTACTTGACGCCCGCGTCGCTGATCATCTCACAACTCTTCACGCTCAACTTCTTCAGGTTGGGGCAGTGCTGCGCCAGCACCTTCAAGCCGTGGTCGGTGACGTCGCACTTGCCGATGTCGAGCGCGCGCAGCCGCTGGCAGCAGCGGGCCACCAGCTCGAGGGCCGCGTCCGAGACGGCCTCGCAGCCGCGCACGTTCAGGTAGCGCAGCTTGTAGCAGCTGCGAGCCACCTGAGCCACGCCGGCGTCCGAGACGCGGTCGCATTTGGCCACGCTGAGGTAGCGCAGGGTGGGCCCGAGGCGGGCCAGCTCGCGCAGACTGAAGTCGGTGACGCGGCTGCAGTCGGAGATGGAGAACTCGCGCAAACCGGGACACAGACTGGGCACGTGCCGGATACCGGCGTCTGTGGGAGACAGGGCAGAGAGCAGGCCGTCAGACACGGGCACGGTAGAGCACGGCACGGGCATTGACGAGCTTAGACAATGTCTTGCCAAAACATCTGCCAAGTAATACCATATCGTAATAAAATATTATCGTACGTTTTCCTGGGCAAAACTGTCCACATGATTGCAAAATGTATCACACAAAACTGCTTAGTGGCAACCCAGTGACAGATTATGCAAAGTCTTTTCCTCAAAATATTTTCGGATTCGTTCACCGTCCGATCTCAACAGCGATGTTTTCCGTTCTCCATCCAGTGATCACTGTGACAGTCCCGGGGCCGGTGCTCACCAGTAAGCTGCTCGCAGCGGCGCATGTAGAGGTGCTGCAGCTGCGGGCAGTGGCGCGCTATCACCCGCAGACTGTCGTCGGTCAGGTTGTGACAGTCCGTCAGGTCCAGGTACTGCAGGTTCAGACGGTGGTCGGCGCCCGCCTGGCTCAGGTCCAGACAGCGCACACGGTGGCACCCTGAAATAACCGGATAGAACCGGAACGGTCAACAGTCGGTTACGGGAGAGGTGGTGTGATCGTGCACTAACCGAGCCGCGAGGGGAAGGACCGGGCTCCGTTTGAAACGGTACCACACTCCGTTAGCGGAAACCGGAGCAGTGAGCACGAACAGAGAACGGGAAACAACGAAACACGTTCAGGATAATCCCATTTCACCGCCGAGATACGCTCACACGATAGCGTCCGCCGCCGACCCGGCGCTGTTTTTCACCTCCCTAAGTAACGGCAATCACCTACCATTACTCACGACAATTAACACGAGTCTCCAGCCCGGTCCTTTCTCTATTAGTGACCCTTCCCGAGGCCGGCGTAATGACCCTATCCTGCCCAGTCGTCCCTGGTCCCATTCCCAGTCGTCCCGCCGCATTCCTGACCACCTACTGCGGGTGTCGCGGCGCGTCGCGTCGCGTCTGCTCACTCACCGGTCAGGTCGAGGTGCTGCAGGTTCGGGCAGTGGCTGACGATGTCCATGACGGCCTGGTCGCCGACCTGGCTGCAGCCGCGCAGCTCCAGGTGACGCAGCTCGGGACAGCGGCGCGCCAGCAGCGACAGGCCGCGGTCGGTCAGTCGCGCACACCCGTTCAGCTCCACGCGCTCCACGGTGTGACACAGCGTGCCCGGGTTATCGCGGCAGAGCAGCTTGACGATCTGCCGGAGCGCCCGATCGGCGCCGGTCGTCTCGCCCGTCAGCGTGATGCTGGTCCACAGCTGCGGCTCCCAGACGAGGAAGTACCAGCGCCGGCAGACGCGCGCGCAGTAGCACAGCTCGTTGGTGGACAGGTACGAGAAGATGTGCAGGATCAGCTCGTCCGAGACGCGGTCGAACGGCGCCGATTTGTGCGCCCGCTTGCCCTTGAAGGCCATGATGAGCTCGGCGCTGGAGGGCGGCTCGGGCAGCTGGGGGCGCGGCGAGTCGCGGGGACACCGAGCGGAGTTGGCCGGCGCGCCGCCCGGGTAGCCGAGCTCGGCCCACGGAGAGGCGGCCGCTGACCGCGCTACCAGCGTGTGGTAGCCCAGGTCGTGATAGGCCGGGGAAGAGCGGCCCTGGGAGACCGCCAGCAGCTGCCGAGAGAGAGAGGGAGGAGTGGTCAGACGGAGATCGGATGAGTCATGCTTGGAGAGTCGCTATAGAGTCAGATGAGTCATTCTAAGAAAGAGATGCTAAGATGGCTTCACGGCATGACAGCAGAAAAGTGCAACTGCTCGCTGCGTTTGTTTTGTCTGGTCGAGTAAGACCTGTCACATTGACAGCAGTGATGCTACTGCAAAATGAACGGCTGAAATGCTTCTAGTTGACGGTTCTTCTACTGCAGCCCGTTTTTAATATTGCATTGCTCATTAGTGACCCATGAGAGGGCACCCTGCCCGTCCCCAGCGCTCCTCGGCCGTCTCACCTTATGATTGTAGACGGAGGGCGACATCCGGCCGGCCCAGCCCCCGCTCAGCACCTCCTTGTGGTTGTACACGGAGGGGGACATCCTGCCCCCGGGGCCGCCGGTGCTCGTGTCGGCGCGCGCCCGCACCAGGCCCGGGTGTCCGGGCAGCGACGGTAACGACGAGGCCACGGCCGCCATGTCGAACGGCGGCGGCGGCGCCGGCACCGACAGCGGGTCCATGGGCAGCGCGCCGGGCAGCTCGCCGCCTAGCGCTCCGCTCGTGTCTGAAAACAGAGAGATACAAGAGTTAGCACGGAGGTCGGAAGATGGATCTAAGTGTGACTAGTTGAACAGTGACAGTTGAGCAGATAAACTCACTGAAACGTAACACTAGAGCTGTGCATTCGTCGCCGGCTCACAGGTGGTTGCGATAACAGATAGCATGTTTCAGTTCGATTGAGTTCAGTTTAGTTCATAGTCAGACACGCACGAGAGCCTCAAGGCTCCCGATCCGTAAATCGACATCTCGCAATGTGTCTAGATCCGGCCGCTCCGGCTCGTCACCGGGCGACCAGTCCCACGGTCAGCTCCGGGCCCCACCGGACCACATTCCCACCCCGTCACGACGTGGAATCCACACCCTCCCCTACCGGACAGACAGGGACGCGGGTCACCGTCCTGCCGGCCTCTGCAGTCGCCCGTCGGAGCCGGCACTATCGCCTCATCTCGGCCTCGGAACGCCACAGGAAACCACGGGCGGTGCAGGATACGCCACGGGAGGCCGGCGCACGGCACGTCGCGTGGTCTAAGGAATGTGGCACTGCGTGACGTCAGGCGGCACGGAATGACGTCAGGGCGGCACGGGGTGACGTCAAGGATTCGGTGATTTGTCACGGAACTGAGCTTTCGCGATGCGTGACATAACACAGCCATTAGGCACTTTACTGATGTCATGTAATGTCACAAATTCATAGATGCAATGTGACACTAAGAATCGTTCGAATGCAGCCCACACCTGTGCTCTGACGTCATCAGCCTCGGCTGACGTCATCATTCAAGGCTCGGGCAGCGGTGGGTGGGATGACCCCGGTCGCCATTCCGACAGCGGACAGCACAGGTTCAAACGGCGTGCGTATCGTGACTCTTCACGGAGCCCGTTCATTGCTCGTTTCGGTTTATCGTGTCTGATGTATGGTGTTGTGTCTTGTCTGCCGCCGTGTCGCCTGGTAGTGGTGACAGATGTCGGAGCGCCGGTGTCGAGGCACGGCCAGCACCGTGGGACCGGCACCGATCACCTCCATACAGTCCTGATTGGTACACTGATTGGAGCCGGTCGGCCGGCCAATCACAACCGCCCGACAGTGCCTAAGCCGATCAGAGGCGTGCAATCGAGCCGCCGACAGACCTAGGCGAGCCGGTGACAACAGCGTGGGGAAGGGGCGGCGGAAAACCGCAATCGTCAGAACGGATCAGCCCGTGAAGTTTCCCACGAGTGAGCGGCAGTTGCCAGTTGCGAGGTGGCGTGAAATCGACACGATTAAATCGACAACTGGTAAAGGTCATTTGTTCGCAACGATTCTGCCATGATGTGACAAGATAACGGAATAAACATGCGACGATCGCGTAGGATTATGTAGGAAAACGGACACTGGACGGGCGTTACGGAAAGCGCAAAATAAAGGGATAAGGCAAAACCATTTAAATATATAGGAAATATGTAAGCTGAAAAACGATGGGAAATCAGCAAAGCGGTCGGAACAATATGAAAATGCCGATTAAGCTCAGAGTAGGTATTAGGAGCCCGCAGCAATGCACTCAGCGAGAAATGGGTGTCAACGATATTCAGTCAGACAGGCAGAGACACGCAGGCGGTCGCGGAGGCCCATGGCGTCCCCGGCGCGGTCCTGGGACGGCCCAGCGCACCACGGGACGGAGCGAGGACGGCCCGGCGCGCCGCGGGACGGAGCCCGAGGAATGTCGTCCCTGCCGGCGGCCGGCGCGACGGGTAGGACAGAAAAACAGGCCAGTGCCGCTCCGGCCGGGAAAAACATCCGCCGGCCGGGCCGAGCGCGCCTGCCGTCTGTGCTGGCGCTGTCCCACGGCGGCTGACCGGCAGGGTTGTGCTTGACTCATGAGTCGAGTCAGAAATTTGACTCAACTCTGACTCAAATGAGTCAGATTTGAGTCGAGTCGGATAAAATGCTGAGCTGTTGAGTTGAGTCAGAGTTGAGTCGGACAAAAATATTAAGGTGTTGAGTTGAGTCAGAGTTGAGTCAGTAAAATAACTTTTGACATTGAGTTGAGTCAAAAACATTTAGGAACATGAGTCAGCTGACTCAACTTTCTAGAAGCAATATATAGTGTAAGTTTTTCATTTTGCCCCCGCTTAACAACTTAGGCCTGGCCCTGCTGCCGGATTTTTTCACCCCCCCCCCCCCGCTCAACAACTTTTTTATCTGAGTCAATTTTGAGTCAACACACTTCACTCAACAAAAAATTTGAGTCAAGTTTGAGTCAACTCATATTTTCATTGAGCCGCTTGAGTCATGAGTCGAGTCAAGGGAAAAAATCAGCTCCTTGTTTGAGTCAGAGTTGAGTCAGGGCATTCTGAAGTTGAATGATGAGTCGAGTCGGCAAATTTTTTTGAGTCGAGCACAACCCTGCTGACCGGTGCCGGGAGGCGGATCAGGAGGCGGACGGAGGCACAGGAGACGCCCATCTGCCGTCTGTGCCCGACACCTGTCCCCGACCCACGCCATGACAGCGTGAAGACCCGCGATGGCATGCCGGCCGGAGTATGGTGCGCTGGGTGCACACTTGCACTGGGTGTGGGTGGGTTCAGGCGCATGGGTTCTGCGATCGCAGAACGATGAAACAGCGGTGGAATATAAATAGAAGACTTTCTCGGAGAAACCACCCGTCAATCCCCGCGCTGGACGCCCCCAGGTGGAGGAGGATTTTTCCGTCGAGTCGATGGGCGATATATGGCGGTGCTGTCAGAAGTGAATGATAGCCACTAGCCGCCCGTTTCCCCAGAAGTGTGAGCGCGGCACGGTTACAAAGTTGCGTCATCGCCAGAAGGGCCGGATGATGAGGTGCACCAATGGAATGTGCGGACGGGGACGGCGATTACACGTCATCTGACATTCCCAGACTGCTGTCGCCGAGCGTTTCACCCAGTCGTGTCACCCACAAGGGCGTCCAAGGATATCAGAAACTTGAAAAAATAATATTCAAATGTAAGGAAAGACATGCTCCTTCCCTATGACTGGAGACAAGTGTCAGACGTGGCGCTGCGATGGTGACATTTATGACGGCAATCACAAGAGGCACTGATACGGTTGAAGCATAACTGAGGTAGCAGGCAACTTGTCGCCAAAGCCTCCCCAAAGCCGCAGCCTTGGAGAATTTCGGGTTTGGTCTAAGCTTTGGAATATTTGAATAAGAATGCATAGAAACAGCACCCGCAAGGGAAATTTGGTATTTTTGAGGAGATAGTGCAAAGTATTTTATGATTACAAGATAAAACGTCAATGGAAAATATATGGAGCGTAAAAACTGATTACTGCGCACAGGATAGAGCAGGAAGCCAAACAGACTGTATCTGGATAAGCGGCTCCATATGGTTACATTGCGATGGCACATCGCCCACATTAGAACGATCATCAGAATAATGGCACTTTTAACCCTCCCTCAAAACCCTGAAATGATTACATTCCAAACGATGAAAACGTATCTCCCCTCTCACTGCGTCCTTCTCTCGCCGAGCCCCGGCCGCGAGACCCCGGCGCTCCCCGCCGCTCACCGAAGCTGGTCTGTCGCGAGTGGTTGGACGACGTGTAGCCGCTGTCACAGTAGTAGCTGCGCCTGCCAGCTCGGCGCTCCAGCAGCTGCAGCAGCAGCTGCCCGCTCGTTTCGTCTCCGCTCACGGCCATCACTCTCCTCCACGGGAACACTCGACTCGGTTTGGGGAGCGGCGCTCAGCACGTGCGGCGGGCTCCAGCGCGGTCGGTCGACTGCCGCCGCCGCCGCCGCCGCCGCCGCCGCGGCCAGCCGCATTCCTGAGGCTCGCATACCTGGGCCGGCGGGCCGGGCCGGGCCGGGACGGGCCGGGCCGGGACGGGTCCGGGCAGGTAGGGGCCGGCCCGGCGGCGGCGCGGTGGCGGCGGTGAGACACAATGCCCGGTGTGCGGTGTTTGTGCGCGCCGGCGCGGTCGGGGTCCGGTTGGGGGCGGTCCGGACCGTGTGAAGGGAGGGCCGGCCGCCGCCGCTCCCGCAGAATGGGGAGGACAGCCGGCCGCTACCTGCCGCAGAGGGGCGGCCCCGGCAGCCGGCCGCAAATTCCCAATCAGGGGGGCGACACGGCTATTCGCGCAATGTATTCATTTATGGGCCGCGCGGGGCCTCGCGATGACGCGGCTGGAGGCAGCTGCTCAGCGCGCTAGGATACTTCTGGCGGGGCCAGGCGCTGAACGGTGTGCAATGAATGGGTTATGGTCGGGCAGACAGAGATGAGGCATTGAATTTGAATTGACATCAGCAATCGGGTGGGGAAGGAGAACGTTTCTAATCGAGCTTGGGATGGGGAAAGCCGAAAATATCACGATCGGCTCATAGCTCCGACAGGGCCGGGTGCTGTACCATGTGTAGTATATTTAAGCGGGCAGACAGAGATGAGTTATTGGATTTCAATTCACCTTACCATCGGTTTCTGGTGAGGTTTGAAGACGTCTTTAGTCAAGCTCGGAGTGGGGCAACGGCCACTGGCAGATCCAGGGGAAGGCATTTGGGGCAAATGTCTTCCCCAACAACCAGGGCAGCGCCCGAAATCGATTTTCGAGAATAAATGAAAACTTCACAACTTTTCTGAGGAAATGTTGGTTAATCACACCGCACAGCAGTGCGCAAGGAATCGAAATCCGAGTTTTTTAAATTAATTCCGAGAAACCTTTTTGGGGTAAGCCCCCGCAGTGTCCAATACCGCTTCCTGGATCCGCCAGTTGTGAATAAGTCACGGTCGATACCGAGCTTCGGCGGGACCAGGCGCTGTACACGTTGTTCTTTGAATGAAGAGGTGGACAGACACTTAGCCCCACATCCTACTGCTATGCCCGTGCTTCTGTGGGTGAAGCACTAAAGCATCACAGAATCCCAGAGGACCTGCGAGTCGACGAGGTGGCCGCTTTGGCCGCCGGGTACTGCAGTTCCCTGGGACTGATGGCAAAACAACAGCTCCGGCGGTGCCCCTATGGGCCGTAGTAATTAGTGAATTCCCGTAATGTAGAGATCATATCCTCAATGATCTCCATTACCATTTTACATTCCTAAACAATATGACAGACCAATTATGCTTGCCTACGTTCAGGCATTACCTCTGATGGTCATACGCCCAGTACAACATGTGTTGTCTGTCAAACAACAATCGACGACGGGATCCCTTCTCATCATCTCTTAAGCCATCGGTTGTCAATTCACCCACCCCGTTTTCCTAAAAACAGACGGTCAGATTCGGCCTGGGTCCTTACGACCCCTCTAAATTCGCCAGAGACGGGATCGGATCGCCGTTATTGCACCCGTCTTAGTGTCTTAAATACTATGACAGCCTCGACCACGGACGTCGGACGGGGTGATCGTTCCACGAATGTACGCACCATCCAGGCCTAGGATGCATCGAGGTTTAAAAGGATGCAGTCTGTAGATCAATCAACAAACAATGGTGGTATGCAACCACTTTAAAATATCTCCCTGGCTCCCGCAACGTTCCAACGCCCCTCCGTTATGCATTCGCCCTGTGTGTCCGCCGAGCCGGCTTGCCTCCAATGACGTCATCGGCCGGCCGGCGGCGTTCAAGGTCAAACGGCTGGTGTCCTTACCTGGAGTTCTATAGCCTTGTTCCCAATAATGCTACACGCTACGCACCTCCAGCGCTGAGTGGCTGGTTGTCGCGGGAGATGACGTCATAGCCTGACGCCACGCTCATTGGCGTGCGGGTTATGTGACGTCACATCTATCAGCCAAGCAATAGTTAGACGAGGTGGGGTCTATTCGCTAGTCCAGATACAGGTTAAGGAAACTTACGAGGACAATATACGAGTCTATGCATGAACCACACGCGGACCATGGATAATTACCTTGTTAGTTATCCAAGCGCGGACCTAAGGGGCGAATTAAAGGGGGCAATTGCTGGCGTTTGTTGGGTGCGCTGACTCAATCCATCGTCTGTATAAAGATAGGCCCCTCTTGCACGGAGACTCATCCCGAATTCGCAGTCTCCTTGGACGAATATGTCTATTATCTTGGTAACGTATTTAGATTGAGATTCATATTCGATATTGATGGTCTGCGGAGTGCGGAGTGCGGACCATTTAGAATCACTTGAAAACGATTTTGACTTGTGTCTCCGTGCAAGAGGGGCCTATCTTCCTCCAGACGATAGAGCGAGTCGGTGCGCTGGGTGTTGAATTTGACCGTGATGGTGTTAGACCTGTTAGACTGTAATTCTGAATTCGTGTTGGATTTGTGGGTAGTGTTGTTTCTGCACCTGTGGTGTTCGATGGAAAAGGATGTTTTTTTTCGGAAAAAAAATGAATCTTCAGGCATTTTGAACATCCACGTGAACTGCAAAGATTTGGCTTTGAGATGTAACGTCAAAACCCGAGAAGAGTTTAGAAACTGGCTGGAAATTTGCTGTTCTTCTACCTCAACTTACTTAAACCCAGGGACACCGCCGAACACTATGCATAAACGTTCTATAGCCTTGGTATAAACGGATCAGCTACAGCTGCCGTCAAACTCGTAATTGATGCGAGTGCATCTCGTTCACCTACGTTGCAATAACGTAGCATCTCGCTATTCGGTGTCACTTGTTTGAGGTCATTTGCTTTGTCAAACATCTGGTGCGTAAATCATTCACGACGGATACGCTTACTTGAGCCGTGGTGGAATGTTGGTCCTCAAAACCTGCCACCAGCCGTGCACAGCTCGCCCTACCACCGAGCCAACACTCCAACTCGCACCGCACGAGCAGAGTACATTTCGATTACCATAATGCTGCATGACGCAACAACCTCAGGCTCTTTCGCCGCAACTTCCCTTGCGTCGGGACTCGGATAAACCCGATAAATCGTTCGCAGTGTAGTTGACTAATGACTAAAGCATCAGAGCAGTGGTCTTCGAGCCCTCCCATCGGTCGTGCACATCTCGGAACCCCTCCCATCGGCCGTGCAGATCTCTCTGAGCCGCCTGCCGCCGGCGCCTCCAGAGCCGAGCCCGAGCGGGCCCCCATGCGCATTGCGCATGCCCCGGACGCGAGTGACGACACCGTGACGTCACCCGCCCGGGCTGTGCGTAGCGTGTAGCACTATTGGGAATTTGCCAGCCGGCCGGCCGGCGCGTGTGAGCCGCGGTATTGTGCTGCCGATTAAACCGGGATGGCGGCCCTTTCAGGCAGTCGGCCCCCGCATTGTCCACCGGAACTGATGAGGGCCCTTGGCGAGACATTCAGGCCTAAGACGCCGGATTTGGGTGTCCCCAACCCTTTCTCTTCGCACCTGGTCCCAGGGAATGCGTAGGTGACTTTTGAGCGGCGACAAACAGGGTTCGATCGATCGAGGAGCCTATTGAAGTTGACTTTGGAGGCAGGGTAAGAGGCTTTCCGGTCCAGCAGCGCAGCAGTCATGGGGCCGCACCTGGACTGAAATGATTGGATATGCACGCTGACTATCCAACTTCCAAATTCCAGGAAACATGTCATATCTAATTTAGATATAATAACTAATGTGGAGAACGAAGACAATAATGTAGGCATGGTAATGTGGAGAACGACGGCAATGGCGCCCCATCTCGGCAGAAAATGTCTGAGTAACGTCCACCATTTCCGCTTGGCAGACTGAGGCCTATTCACCGGACACCGCATATCCCTTTGACAAACCGCTCTCCGCCACTTTGGAACGCCGTCAGGTTGCAGGCTGAACTTCTACGACAGCTAGAGCAGCATTTTCAAGACCTGAATCAGAAGAGCTCCGTGCCGTACTGTTTTGTAAACCATAACAGTAAGTGATTGAAGACAAGCGTGGGGGAGTGATGCCCCAATGACCAGTGAACAAATAGGAAAGAATGGAGAGGAAGTGGGTTATGTCATACGCGTTAGTGCTAATCCAAATAATGCCATTATATGTCGGAGTCATTAGGTCTCAATAATGTATGAGAATAAACAAAACGCGGCCTCAAAACACGACGCATGTGAAAGACGGTAACTATTACGCGAGGAGACTGTAGCAGAAAACAGAAAAGAATCACCAGTTAGCATAGCCCTACACCACGAGGAGACTACATTGCTGAGTAAGGCTCTAGCACCGAAGCCTCTCGGTGGCTTGAACTCGGCTCAATGGGCACGTGACACTGCTATCGCTGTTAGAACCTGATCCGAATATGCAACGCGATGTTAAGTGTAATGCAAGCCGGCAAGCACGGCACAAGGCATTAAACGCACGGCCGTTTCTGCGCCGTCTCTGCGAGCCGGGCCAGCCGAGCCGCTTGCAGGCCAGCTCAACAACAGGGTGGTTATAGAATACAGATCAGAGTGTCAAATATAGGATCGAGTGGTGACTAGTAAATGCATACTGGAGGCCGTGAGACGACTGTTCTGAAAAGCTCACAGTCTGCGACTGCTTACCGTCGACTGTGGACAGTTTACGGCGGAACAAATGTGTCAGAATCAGTCAGAGCCCACAGCTGTGGTGACGACGGTTGTGATGATGACAGTTGTGATGATGACAGTTGTGGCGATGGCAGTTGTGATGACAGTGTGGCAGATGAGCGCTGTGGCACACGTCGGCGACTCAGATCGAGGCGTCAGGGTGGTTTGTCATAACGCTTGAATAGTTGATACATCTTGACCTATCACCATGGACACTAACAAACGCAACTTACGGAGTGAGGATGTAAAATGCTCAAAATATGGAGTTAGTGTAAGTCCATGAATAAAACAAAAATGACAAGCAGATTAACCCGACCGCTCCTTGAACGTTTAAATTCATGATTTGCAGGAGCTTGAATGTTTCAGTGTTTCAGAGAATACAGGATTTGAAGCATTCGTGCGCAGTGCTTTGTGGTGTTTTTCATTACATGAACACCTCTATCATGCAAATATGATTGAAATGTGCTGTATTTTATTCATGTTCACCGTAAGTTATCGACTGCCTGCCATATTGCTAGCAAATAGGTTTCACGGATCTTGGGAAAAGATCGTAAGATTTCTTGGAAATCGACGATTTGCACCAGTCCCATGCCCTGTGTGCTAAAATATTTCGAGGGAACTGACCAGCCATCTAAAGTGACAAAGACCTTCAACACCTATCGTCATTGCACATTAAGACCATTTCGCGGTAAGGAATTTAAGTTTCTAATTTCTACAAAGTCCGCCTTGTCCTCACTTAAGGATCCGTCAAACTGTTGGGAATGCAGTTGAACGCGAAGACTATCGCAAGTGCTTAAGGTGTGCAACATAGCGATCCATTTGTTCAATTATGACTCTGTGAATAGCTTACAAATACAGCTTTGTTCAAGATTTGCACATCCTCGTCCTACAGCTCAACAGAACAAAAAATATTAATCCGTTACGACTCTGTGTATAAACTTTACGACTATGTCAGGTGATGTATTCGTGCAAGATGCCAGCTACAAGTCTCCAAATTATAGGCCGCCGACAATCCTCCCAATAAACTTGTCTTCGAACGCTCTCCGGCATATCTCCGCCCAGATGATCACGAACGGTTTCGGGGCGCGGCCTGGTTTGGGCTGTGCCCGCGGCCATAGGCTGGCGGGACCGTTCCAGTAGATCGGTTTGAACGTCTGCCGTTGACCGTTGACCGTTGAGACTTGAGAGTCGGCGAGCTGATACCGAGTGACCCAATCCTGTCGCCAAATGCCACCCGCTGGAGCGACCATGTGTGCTCTGGTGCACTGTCTAGACTTCAATGAATCACATTTTTCGTCAAATGACTGCTTAAAACTATCAGATAGTCCATATTCTTCATATCAGCTTTGATTTGTTGCATCACCTCCCGTCATGAGCCCACTCTCCGTGATTTTGTGCGCCCTCGCTTCCACACCTTCCTGTCATTCCCCTCGGTAGCGTTAAGTGCCGTGACTGGCCACACGAATTCTCGGTTGTCCTGGCTTTCCGCGTTCCGTGCCGTTCCGTGCCGCCGTGCAGTTTTTCATACGGCCGTGCCGTGCCGTCCGTGCCAGCCAGTGAAGTGAGGGAGTGGGTTCCAACGGCCGGCGCGAGCCCGCCGCCGGCCCACAGCCATGCACATTGCACAGTCATGCAGAATTACCGGCCAGGAATGCGGCCTGCATAGACCACGGCCGGCGGTGCCGAGCATCGGAATGCCCTCAGCGGGTGCACGGAGAGCCGCTCGTGGCCGCCGCCGGCGCTCTCGGGCGGTATACGGTGCCGGGCGCCGCGCCGGCCGCCGGCGCTGGGGCGCCGCCGCGGCCTCGGGGCTGTATTGGAAGGGCGCTTCCGTGGCCGGGGTGCTGTATTGGACGGGTGCTGCCGCGGCCGGGGTGCTGTATTGGACGGGCGCTGCCGCGGCACGAGTGCTGTATTGGACGCCGTGATTATGGACCGGCTCAGCCAGCGATGGCCAGACAAGGCCAGAAGACCGGGTGGTGCCGGCGCGGGGTGGGGCGTGGAGAGAGCGCTGCATCTATGCGAATATGCGCCCCAGCTCATGTTTTCTTTACACCTTCAAGAGTCTAGACTAAGAGTATGCCAAATTTGTGTTCACTGTTCACAAGTTATTTTCCTGTACCGCGTTCTTATCCAGAGTGATGATCCAGATTGTTCTTATTACTCGCATCTGAGACGCTTCGGCGCACTTTGTGGGACTAGCTTAGACGGCATCTCTGCACGGACATAGCAGGATGTCGTCTGACAGGAAAGTGCTTATTTAAATGCCCGAATAAAATCTCTCTCAAAGGAGACCGACTCAGCTGCAGTTGGCAGTTTATGAAAAGAGGCATCTAACGGATGCCCGTATGACTAAGTCAACCCTCGGTTGCAATCCGCGCAATCCTGCGCGATCCGATCAAGTCTAGTGATCTTGTGACCAGAGTGCATTCAGCCATTGTGGAGAGCGACATGAGACGGCGCCGCTACCCGGATTATCTGCAGCGGTGGAGACATGTCGGCTCCTCTTCATCCTATCATCCGACTCATGTGAGAGGACGAGCAGTTTGACGCCAGATTTCTGTCGCCCTATGAAGGCAGCTTGATGCTTGGCCCGAGGCCCAGGGGCGGATCCAGAAAATCTCCAAGGGAGGGGCCATTAGAAACCAGGAGGCCCCCCCCCCATAATCCCACCTGTTGGAGGCCCCATCTTCCCACTTGTTGGCCCCCCCCCAAAAAAAAACTGCGTCTATTGAGCTTATCTAGCTTTTCAGGCAACATCTCAACATCTGTGCAGGCTTGGAGGCCCTCTGTGCAGGTTAGGAGGCCCTGTAAAAGTGGTCATCTCTGTGAGTATAAGAGACCTCCAAGTTATGAAAAGCTTTACCACATGCCGAGATATCCCTTTAACATTAGCACGTGCATTTGGGAAATGGCTTCGGCCCGCCTCGGCTAATGTTGAAGGTATTTGGGAAACGATTCGGCCCTAGGGCTTTTTGATTTTCCCAGACAAAATTTTACTGAATATTCTGAGCGGAAGAACCAATTTCAAAGAAGATATTTACGGATTTTGTGTTCACTAACAGCAACAGCAAAAGTAAGTGACTGCGTGTTTACTTACTTTTGCTGTCAACGTAATTCAACTAAACAAGGTTATCGTTCTAATGCCAATGTATTTATTGCTGCAGAACATGGTCGGAAATCGTAATAATAATTATTTATACATAATGCACGCAAAAAACGATCAATTTAAATGCGTGAAGCATCTTAACGTGCCACAATGAAACATTTGATATTGTTCCAGCTGGGATCCAAGACGCGTTTGATTCAGCGTTTCACCCGATTTTCAGTTTTCCTCACGGTTTCCTCATTCCTGCTGGACTCCATATCTTTATTCTAACTTCTGGCGCTTCACCATCTTCATCCTCAGCTTTTTCAAACCCTAAATAAGGGGGAAGTAGGAATTTCATCTTTCATACTCAACGCAGCCCAATAATGAAAAACACAAAAAATAATCACGGTGACTATAAATTTGAACATAGTACTAATATAATATTAACACGATATTAAGATTAAAGTGTAAAATATCAAATGAACATGATATTAACTGTTGCGCCGGTACGGCATGTGGTAAATCTCTTCCCAACCTTGGGCTGTGAAAATGCAGTTTTATTCAGGGGGGGTCGAAGTCTAGTTCATACTAGACTGGCAACCCCACGGCTGACGTCACGATCCCCAGCGTGACGTCTGTCGCAGTGAGTTAGATGGAAAAACAAGCACACGTCCCCCGTCTTCATGATTCGCCAGTTTATGAGTGTCCCTTACGGCGACGGGGGTGGCGGCTGGGACCTGGGAAGGCGCATACTGGACATTCCTCGTCCTGGCTTACCCCACCCCTACCCCGACCCGTTCCAGTCAGTAAGGCACGGACGCTGCGAATTCCAGCCCGTCCGCCGTGCATATTTAACCGCGGCTGCGGGGACAGCCCCAGGGTCGGTCGGGCCGGCGGGGCTGATCACTGGTAGATTTTTGTGGCCGATGGGTAATTGGTCCTTCAGAGCCGATCGCTGGCTGACGCACGCCTTTGCAGACGGGTCGCCGCCTGCCGCGGGGAGCCATAGCTCACAGGGCGCCGCCAGCCGCGCGAGCATTGACCACATTCCGCGACAGCTGGTCCCTGTAATCGGCGCGCGGATGGATTACGGGGGGGGGGGGTAATCGGAGGAGGGTGCCAGGGCGGAGCAGAGTGGGGTGCCGCGGCTCGGGTGCCGGGAAATGGGCTATATCCGGACCCGAGTGGCTAGGTGAGCGGCGCAGCGTTAACGAGCGCCCGACTGGCCGCACACGATCAGCTGCACACGCCCAGAAGAATGTCGGAACGACAGACGACCCCCTCTGTGTGTCAGGCGCGGGTGAGGAGTAGGACATTCCACGCATCGCTGCAGACATTATCGGAGAGGTGGTGTGCGCCGGCCGGGGTGGGTCGCGTGCGGGCGGGAAGATAAAACGTACACTGTGAGACAGTGAAGTTATTTTACAAACACTACGTTTAGCAGAAGAATGTTAGCCCTCCCCGGCTGAAGGAGTGCTTCACACGTGTCTTTGAATTCTGTCTAACGTATGTATGTCTTTGACCAGGGCGCTTCCGGTAGGAACAATGGAAACTTTCACCCGGTATGATGGAAATGATATGCTCGAAATGATTCAAATCGTCTCTCCTGCCGGAAACTAAGTGTGCCGGTATTAAATCATTCATTACTGTTCGAGCCGGGGCCGTTTTCGTTTACAGAAATGACTGTGGAGAGAGTCGATGTATGGAAGCGTATCGAGGTAAGGAGAACAAGGCCGACAGACGCGTCTGAATAGATAATGGCCACCTGTCTCCGTCCAGTCATCGACATAGTTCGGTCCAACCGCATGTAATTATCAGCCGGCGCTGGAGGAAATGAGATGAACAATCGCTGTTCACATGGCACAATATGACAGCGAAACAAGTACACGCACCATGTTCTATTGTGTAGTAGCCGTATTTTCTGAAAATGCGATTTCCTGAGCTGAGGCTATGAAGCCGCTGACTATAATCGAAAGAGAAATGAGAGATATTATCACAGTAGCTAGATGAGGGGGAGGAGCAGAATCTCAT